TCCGGGTGAGAGGCGGAGGGCTGGGGTTGGCTTTTTGTTAGCCCCGAGACTCTCTGCCTGTGTGTTGGGGTTTACCCCGGGGGACAAGAGGGTAGCTTCCTTGCGCCTTCGGGTCGGGGAACGGGTCCTGACTGTTGTTTGTGCTTATGGGCCAAATATCAGTTCAGAGTACCCACCCTTTTTGGAGTCCCTGGGACGAGTGCTAGATAGTGCTCCATCAGGGGACTCCATTGTCCTGCTGGGGGACTTCAATGCTCACGTGGGCAATGACAGCTTGACCTGGAGGGGTGTGATTGGGAGGAACGGCCCACCTAATCTGAACTCGAGCGGTGTTTTGTTATTGGACTTCTGTGCAAGCCGCAGTTTGGCCATAACGAACACCATGTTCGAACATAAGGATGCCCACCGGTACACTTGGTACCAGGGCAGCCTAGGTCACAGGTCGATGATAGATTTTGTAGTCGTATCATCTGACCTGCGGCCGTATGTTTTGGACACCCGAGTGAAGAGAGGGGCGGAGCTGTCAACTGATCACCACCTGGTGGTGAGTTGGATCAGATGGCAAGGGAACATGCCGCGTAGACCTGGCAGACCCAAACGCATAGTGAGGGTCTGCTGGGAACGCCTGGCAGAAGAACCTGTCAAGACGGTCTTCAACTCCCACCTCCGGCAGAGCTTTGACCACGTCCCGAGAGCAGTGGGGGACATTGAGTCCGAGTGGGCCTTGTTCCACTCTGCGATTGTCGAGGCGGCTGTTGCTAGCTGTGGTCGTAAGGTGGCCGGTGCCAGTCGTGGTGGCAACCCCCGTACCCGCTGGTGGACACCAGAGGTTCGGGGAGCCGTCAGGCTGAAGAAGGAGGCCTACAGGGCGTGGCTGGTCTGTGGGTCTCCGGAGGCAGCAGACAGGTACCGGATAGCCAAGCGGGGTGCAGCAGTGGCAGTTGCCGAGGCAAAATCTCGGGCGTGGGAGGAGTTTGGTGAGGCCATGGAGAAAGACTATCGATCGGCTCCAAAGAGGTTCTGGCAAACTGTCCGGCGCCTCAGGAGAGGAAGGCAGCAACTCGTACACACTGTTTACAGTGGGGATGGGGAGCTGCTGACGTCAACTGAGGCTATAGTCGGACGGTGGAAGGAATACTTTGAGGAGCTCCTCAATCCCACCAATGCGCATTCCGAGGAGGAACCAGAGCTGGGAGACCTGGGGATGGACTGTCCGATCTCGGGGGCAGAAGTTGCTGAGGTAGTCAAACAACTACACAGCGGCGGAGCCCCGGGGGCGGATGAGGTTCGTCCTGGGTATCTCAAGGCTATGGATGTTGTAGGGCTGTCATGGTTGACACGTCTCTACAACATTGCGTGGTCATCGGGGGCAGTTCCTAGGGAGTGGCAGACCGGGGTGGTGGTCCCCATCTTTAAGAAGGGTGACCTGAGGGTGTGTTCCAACTATAGGGGGATCACACTCCTCAGCCTCCCTGGAAAGGTCTACTCCAAGGTACTGGAGAGGAGGGTCCGATCGATAGTTGAATCTCAGATAGAGGAGGAGCAATGCGGTTTTCGTCCTGGCCGTGGAACTGTGGACCAGCTCTATACCCTTGCAAGGGTGATGGAGGGGGCATGGGAGTTTGCCCAACCAATCCACATGTGTTTTGTGGATTTGGAGAAGGCTTATGACCGTGTCCCCAGGGGCACCCTGTGGGGGACGCTCCAGGAGTATGGGGTGGGTGGCTTTCTGTTAAGGGCCATTCAGTCCCTTTACCAGAGGAGCGTGAGTTTGGTCCGCATAGCCGGTAGTAAGTCGGACCTGTTCCCAGTGAGGGTTGGACTCCGCCAGGGCTGCCCTTTGTCACCGGTTCTGTTCATCACTTTTATGGACAGAATTTCTAGACGCAGCCGTGGTGTGGAGTGTGTCGAGTTTGGTGGCAGGAGAATCTCGTCTCTGCTTTTTGCGGATGATGTGGTCCTCCTAGCTTCATCCAGCTCTGACCTTCAGCTCTTGCTGGGTAGGTTCGCGGCCGAATGTGAAGCGGCTGGGATGAGGATCAGCACCTCCAAATCTGAGACCATGGTTCTCGACCGGAAAAGGGTGGCTTGCCACCTCCGGGTCGGGGGAGAGGTCCTACCTCAAGTGGAGGAGTTTAAGTATCTCGGGGTCTTGTTCACGAGTGAGGGTAGGAGGGATCGGGAGATCGACAGGCGGATTGGTTCGGCGTCTGCAGTGATGCGGACGCTGAGCCGATCTGTCGTGGGGAAGAGGGAGCTGAGCCAGAAAGCCAGGCTCTCGATTTACCGGTCGATCTACATCCCAATCCTCACCTATGGTCATGAGCTTTGGGTAATGACCGAAAGAACGAGATCGCGGATACAAGCGGCCGAAATGAGTTTCCTCCGTAGGGTGGCCGGGCTCAGCCTTAGAGATAGGGTGAGGAGCTCGGACATTCGGGAGGGACTCGGAGTAGAACCGCTGCTCCTCCGGATCGAAAGGAGCCAGTTGAGGTGGTTTGGGCATCTGGTCAGGATGCTCCCTGGACGCCTCCCCGGGGAGGTGTTTCGGGCACGTCCTGCCGGCAGAAGGCCCCCGGGTCGACCCAGGACACGTTGGAGAGGTTACATCTCCAATCTGGTCCGGGAACGCCTTGGGGTCCTGCCGGAGGAGCTGGTGGACAAGGCCGGGGAGAGGATGGCCTGGAGCTCCCTAGTTGGGATGCTGCCCCCGCGACCCGGACCCGGATAAGCGGAGGAAGACGACGACGACGACGACGACGATATATATATATATGTATATATAATTGGCGGCACAACCAAGTTTTGAAATGCCTTGCTGCTACACTGGAGGAAAAACGATGCAGCATCAACACCCTTTCAGCATCTAACATCTCAACACTACCAAGGGGAACTGCCTTCGTCCGTGAAGGCACAGCAGTAACTAAGAGCCTCTCTAAATCATCAGAGAGAAGCCAGCTGTGTCTAGCACGTGACTGGAAGATGCTGGCAGACACTGGCAAACAACTGGTGTTTCCCTCAGAGATAGCTACCACCACCGTTAGGCCTGACCTGGTGCTATGGTCCTCCTCCATAAAGAAGGTTTACATAATCGAACTCACCGTACCCTGGGAGGATTCCATGGAGGAGGCCTTTGAGCGGAAGCATCTGCGGTATGCTGAACTAGCCGCTGAAGCAAAACATCGTGGCTGGAATGCAGAGGTCCGCCCAGTGGAGGTCGGGTGCAGAGGGTTTGTGGGAACATCTACCACAAAACTATGAAGGGACCTAGGAGTCATGGGCCAGAAACAGTGCAGAGCCATCAAAGCTACATCAGAGGCAGCAGAAAGAAGCAGCCAGTGGCTCTGGCTGAAGAGGAATGACCCAATTTGGGCCCCCAAGTAGTGTGCCAGGTTGCACACTTTAATGGCTAATTGGACTTGGGACGCAAGCTGAGGTCTGATCAACCTACAGCTGGCCGCCTCTGAGGATGATGTATAGTGTTAAAGGCCGAAACACCCCATGATCCAGAGGAACACCACTGAGGATGCGTCCCAGAAATTTTTTCCTGCAGTTCTACCATCCACCGTTAAGTAGGTCAAGCACTCGTATGTTCTTGCACAAGGAAATACCATCTGATCCTGTGCTTTCTGGAATCTAACAAATACAGTTGAATTACAACATTCACTGGTTTATTGTTGCATATCTAAAGAAAGCTGCCCCTTTACGTGTCTTAGATTGGAACTTTTTATTGATATGAGATTTGTTTATTATATGCATCTGATAACCACTTAATTCTCACAAAGGTCACGAGGAGATGGTGTCCAACACCAGCAGCCATTGGGCAGGGACAGATCGCCAGTCGCTCACAGGGACACACAGAGACAAAACCATTTACACACACTCCTAGGAATTATTTTATGGGTTCGAAGATAACCTCACATCTATGTTTTTGGTCTTTGAGAGGGAACCAGAGCACCTGAAGATAAGCCACTCATGCATTTATCTTGTATGAAGAGAACATGCTGATTGCACAAAAGCAAACCTGCCACTTCCTTGTTGAAAGGCAACAGTGCTACCAACTGTGCCACCACGTGACCACACATGATCAGTGTACGTCAAATAAATAACGAGTTAAGTTGGGTAAGATAAGCATTCATAATATAGTTTGGAATTTTGTGTTGCATCAAATGTCATCTCCCTGACAGTTGGGAGATGACATTTTCTGCAGATTCGCTCTGTGACCTGTGAGTCGGGCGTTTGCTCCTTAAAGAGCAAGTCACCCCAAATCAACTTTTTTTCCTAATAAACTATATAAATGTGTGTCTAATCGTGCTGCAGACACGTGTAGTCAATAGTTTTGCACTTTAGTGCATTTTAGTTAAAATGTTCTGCCTAAAACTGTCAGTGTTGTGCCGTTGTCAGGTAAAAACTCTGCACTGCATTTGAACTAAAGAGTGTGTAAGACTCTGCTATGAAATGCTAAACCAAACTAATTTAGGAAAGTATTGAGGCAGGATTTAGTTCTGTCTTGAAAATGTAGCTTTTCATCTTTTGTTTAAAATTGTCATTATATATCAAATTGATAGAAGTCAAATTATTAGAAATACAGTTAAAAATGACCCTAAAACGGAGATTTAAAACTGGCAAGTTAAACAAATATATCTAACTCATCAGGTGGGACTTCGTCCTTATCTGAACTAGGCCTGTCTTATTTTCTGTTTCTCTTGTGCAGTTACAATAAGTCACGTGACAGTTTTTTTTTTTTGGCTATGTTTTTTTAAAAATAGTATATCACGTTGTGTTCTTCCCTTTAAATGTGCACGTAGCGTAAATCAGTTTTAAACGTTACATTTTAGCGTTGTTAAGTGTTTAGCTCTACGGTTAAGTTCCGGTCAAATCGCATGTAATACTTTTAGGGAAATAAAAACGACCTTGTTTCTCGGTTTGGCAAAATACGACACTTCGAACACGCCTTGAACGCAACACTACCCTGACCTTAACCGACTGAGAAAGAAGAGCGTCTCTTCTACGTCGGGAGTCGGACGATCCATCCCGCTGCCTCGGAGACCTAACTCTTTTCTATTAAGTATCTTAATCTTTTATTCATCTTAATATCTTAATAATCTACGCGTTTGTACAGAGACGAGCCGGCACAATCAAAACTGATTCGACATGAGTCAGATGAGGAATTCCGTCCCCGAAGCATCCACTCAGAGTAAGAAATCTATTCTAACCAGTCAGCTGTAATATTTATTTTCATTTTATTTTTCAACGTGTTGCAGCTGCAGCGTGTTTTTCTTAAACAATTCCCTGCAGAGTTGCATGGCTTAATAAACCAAGGATCAACGTGTTACCTGAACAGCGTGCTGCAGGTGCTGTTTATGACTAAAGACTTCAGAGAGTCTGTGAAGAGGTTTGTGTCGAAGTCCAACTTAATGCTGGGATGCATACAAATTATTTTCATTTTATAATTATGTTTGTTTCATGCAATGTTTGACAACCCTTTTCTAACAGATGCCCAAAAGACAAAGAATACATCGATCCCCAACTTCGTAACTTGTTTAAGAACCTGTCGACACGCACTGCACGAACAGTAGAAGTTACAGAGAAGTTGGAAATCGAAAGAGGTAAAACATGCAAACCTACAGCTGCGGGACTGATCTACGCCATTGTGTTTTATTCTTATTTGGAGATTTTTCTTCAGAGTCCCAAAAAGGCAACATGTTATTGTGTAGAGATTATTAATAATTTAGAAAGGTTTTAGTCAATATTGCAGAATCTTTTCCTATTGATTTGCTGATTGATTGATATTTTCGTTAGTTTCAGTATTTACTAATCTATTCCCTTTCTTACCACAGTAAACGAACAGCACGATGCTGCCGAGTATTTGGAGAAGATTTTAACCCAGACCAGCGATGAGGCGTCTCAGGTAAAAGAGGAGTTATGATGTCATTGTCATTCCTTTTGAATCTAATTTAGATTTAAAATATTTTTCTATGTTCTTTTTTCAGATATTCAAAGGAGAGTTGGTACACAGGACTGTTTGTGAATGTGGTGCAGTCACTGATGAGAAGAAACCTTTCTGGAATCTTCCTCTTCCTCTGAGGAGTTCCTCTAATAGAAACTACAGCGTGGTGAGTCCTGAACAGCCTGCAGATCTGACAGCATTTTCATTTTATCATCTGGAGGCATAAATCAGTAAATGTGACATAAACGTGTTTTCAGGTTGACGGGATTGAGGACTTTTTCAAAGTCTCACATTTGGTTGGAGATGATCAACTGTTCTGTGAAAAGTGTGAATCCAAAAGTGACTCTACTGCTGTGAGTAAAATAAATGAGTTTCTGTGTTAAAAGATGCAATAATACCGCAATATATAAATCATACAACATAATAACGACAATATAAATGTGTTTTATTTAGGAATGTGTAATAGAGCGTCACCCCGAGGTTTTGATGTTGCTGCTGAAAAGGTTTGAGTTCAACTACCATCAGATGTCATATGTGAAAAACAGATGTGTTGTGGAGGTTCCCCTCACTGTAGAGATACCACAGGTATGTTTATGCATTTTCAAACGTATTAATTAAGGATGCTACGATACAGTTGTGGTTTTCAAAAACATCTGAATCATTTGACTTTTTAAATTCATACCGAGATAGAGATTTTCCAACGGTATGGCTTAGATTAAATTTCAACAAGTTCCTTTACATCAAAATTTATTGTTGCACAGACTGCAACAACACCATAAAGTCACACAATGTACAGCAGCTGTTAGTTTAGACACTTATCATGTAGCTGTGTAGCGCCATGAAATGTCCTGTTTATGACCTAAAGGTCATGATCTGCTGCGTCTGCTCGCGTGGAGACAAATGGGCCATCCCCATCTGTACCGGGTCGGCCCGGGCCGGGTAGCCCCAGTCGGCCCCAGCCTGGCCCGGTTGATTCCACACATCCTTGTCTTAAGCCCATGTGGGCTTATTCTACCCACCAATCAGAGGCTTGCTCTAATGGAAGGTGTGAATTTGCCTTCAGCAGTGGGTGTGTTGGCCCTGGTCGGTCTGAAGCAGACCCCCTCGAGAAGAGGGCTGAGAATGAGCCTTGGTTGGCCTGGAAAAATACCAGGCCACCCAGATATGTAAACAACCTACGCTACCCGGCCCGGGCCGACCCAGTACAGATGGGAATGGCCCAAAAGTCTCTGACAGGCTAATCTACATGAGATAGTGGCCAAGGTCTTTCATGCACTCTGCTCATCTGAACTGCTTCACCTCTTTACAGCTCAAGACGAAGAACTATTTTGATAAATACATAATCAACAACGTTTGTTATTACCAATAATAATGTGAGCCCAATGATCAATCATTCTGTCAAATGACAATGTTATTACTTGATATTATAATTCTGTGATCAGTAGTATTTTACAAGTAATTATAATCCTGGACATTTGCTCTAGACACTGATGACACGTAATGCTAAAGTCACATGACACATTTCCTTTTGTCTGATCCAATCAGAACCTTCGTTTCTGACCCTAGGCGTGGTTTTCTGTGGTGTTTGTATAAACCCTCTTTTGCATGTCAAATTCTGATTCGCCAGTAAATAAAAATAAGATAATTATAAAAACTATTCCACGCCACCTTTTCTTCAGTTCAAAGCGTTCTAGAGAAATCTCGGACAGGCCATCCGGACTTCCTCTTCAGCCAAAAGAACCTCGACAAGCTGGATAAAATCTGTTGCAAGTTACACCTGACCGCAACGGTTCCTTCAGAATAAAAGCTGAACCTCACGACCCCTTCAGGGTCTCGCTGACGCCAGTGATAACCTGTCATGACCTCGGAGCATTCCAAGACTAGTTTGGTCGGCACCGCTGCTTTTCTACCGGCTTCGGTACCAAAGAGGGTCCAAGAGGACCTCGACATTCTGGATCTAACGGAGGCTTCCCCTGGGGTACGTAGACCGACAGATGGCGTTTCATGTGTGTTATAAATCTCCTACTAAAATTTAGAGCGAAACATTCACTCCCACTCAGAACTAAATGCTTCTCCGGATACGAGGTTCTGATAACAACATTCCACACACACACACCATACTCTCACGTCTCACTCCACCTTAGTTCCATCAGTACACAGAGTGTTAGTTAGTCTTGTTTAAATTGTGTAGAAATAAATTTCTTAACTATTATAAACCTGACTCTCTCTCTTTCCTTGGAGTTAATACGAAGTGTCGCTTAATCCCTGCAATAAAAAGCTCTGATCTTCTGGTTAAAATATTCAAAGATCCATCAGATTGATATTTTATATTTCTATGGAATCTCACATTTTATGGTTCATAAGTAAGATGTAAACAACTCATCATTAAAGCCGTAAGGTAGCAGGCTAACGCTGGGCTAACATGTTACCTCTGCAGAGTAAAAGTGTCTGCTGTTTGGACATATTTTAAACAGGACAGTGAAGGAAGTGCAACAGACACTTGCAATTTGTGCACGGGCATTTCACGTGGCTTCATCCAACCCTGGTGCCTATCTCCATTGGTCTCTGGGCAAACAGGCGGGGTACACCCTGGACAGGTTGCCAGTCCATCGCTGGGACACACAGGACAAACAACCAAGCGCACACACACTCACACCTTGGGACAATTTAGGAAGACCGATCAACCAGTTTAACCCCAGGAGCTTTTTGCTGCACCACTTTGCCGCCCCTTCTTTATGAATGAATGGCTAAAGTATTGGCTCAGGACTCAAACTAGAATCAGGAGCAAAATAATGTGTTGGAACATCCCAATAATTAATTTCTTTTTACTGTTTTGACTTAAATGCATACATTTGTTTTCTTTGTTTATCAGAATCACAAATATAAACTTTATGCATTTGTGGAACATTTTGGGAGTCTTAGAAGTGGACACTACACCGCAACCATAAGGTCAAAGGAAAACAAGGACAGTTGGTACAACTTCAATGATTCCAGTGTCACAAAGGTAAACCATCTTCTTTTTATCAAGTTTGTTAAAGATTTTCTAAAATTATTTACGATAGTTTGCGTTTAAAAAATGATGTAAAGTATGAGTGTAATATTTTTATTTGTTCTATCGCAGCTTAACAACCAGCCATTCAAAGAACGCAGACTTGAAAAGTAAGTCAACTCATTTTTACAAGTCATTTTTCCAGTTTTTTTTTATGTGATTTGAAAATGGGTTTATGTTCTTTTTACATTAGATCAGAGAGTGCCTATCTTCTGTTTTATCGAAGCAAAAAGGGTAGGAAACAAATGTTTTCATTATCCCTCCCACTGTCTTTATGGGTGACCCCGCGAGGAAAGTTGACCATTGAGCAGGATTGATGGTTTATCCCTTGAGGTCCGTGTGGCAGGGGTGAGGTGGTGCTCACTCCTCACCCCTGCCACACGGACCTCAAGGGATAAACCATCAATCCTGCTCAATGGTCAACTTTCCTCGTGGCGTTACACCCATTAGGACAGTGGGAGGGTTAAACGTCATTATCTAATTTCCCTCTGGGATTAATAAACTATCTTTGATTTGATTGATTGTTTTTTTGCTAATACTCCATCTGGACTTTTGGAGACTATCCTTGGTTTATTTTATAAATGCTCTCTGATATTTCAGATACTGATCTCCAAAACAACACAGACCTCTCCAACAATCCAAGGCCTCCTCTGGACAGCCATACAAGTAGTTGTCAAAGGGGGAGCAAACGTAAAAAGTTTGACGAAGAAGGAGACAAAAATAAAACTAAAAAGACGACAACCGGTCCACGTGACAAACCTACAGATGGATTACCGGACATCTCTGTTGAACACGGTCGTGAGAGCAAGCTTCGTATCGAACAGACCAGTAGCCATGTTTGTGCTGAAGAGGTTAAAGGTCTGTCTGGTCACTCCCGTGGTGTTAATGTGGGCAAAAGGGATCTTGAACACAATCAACATAAACAAAGAAATGTGGAAAATGAAAACCAAAGGGGAAATGTACCTGATTCCTCAGTTGTTCTAAAGACGCAAAAATCTACTAAAGAGTCTGACCGAAGCAGTGAGACTGGTCACGCTGGGCGAGAAGAGGAAAGAATAGGTCAGCAGATGCAGAAGATTCAAGCTGGTAGACGAGAATCAAGAGATCACCGTCAGGGGAAAAATTCTCTTCGATATGAAAGAGAGGCTTTTTCTGATGAACAAAATGGAAGCAAACCCCAGAGGGAATATCGGGAAGATGAGCAGATTCAAGGTCAGAGAGGAAAAGAGGGAAGGATTAGTGTGAACAGAGATGAAAGAAGGGAAAGAACACCCGAGACAAACCCGCATCCGTATGAGAGCAAAATAACCGAGCACTGGAAAACATCTTCCAACATTCCCACTGAGAATATGAAGCCTAAACCAGCGGCACATCATAAAAACAAAATCAGCTCTGTGGAATTAAACAGTGACGATGTTGAAGGAATTCTGCCTATGAATGATTCTCCCACACAAGCAGGGTCAGAAACAGAAGAGGGAAGCAAACAAAAGGCCGTTATCGAGGGAAACGAGAAAACTCATCGTTTTTGGCGAACAGTTCGCCGTCGTTTCAACTGCAAAAAAACTAAGAAAATTCAAGCTGATAAACAGAATGAAAATGTGGAAGAGGCCGTGGGTATGATCCCAAAACGTTCCAATGCCAAAAAAGAGAAAGGCACGACCTGTTGTTGTTTTTGTTAATGAATTTAGTTTTTGTTTGTTTAGAATGAATTGCATAATGACACCATAAAATGGAACATTATTTTGGTAAAGTACTCAATTATTCACTAATGGTAATTATTCAAATGATCATAAAACTTTGTTTCTCTAAAAAATGTCCTAACATTCCCCGACATTATTCCTCCACGTTGGTTGAAACATAATATATGGCTGAGGAACGATCATTTTGTTATGAACATATTTAGATTTATGCACATTTTTCCTTTTCTGTTTTGTGCCTTACTGCCAGTTTATGGTTCTGGGTGTAAAAAGTTTCTAATATAAGATTTTTGATGAATCTTGGTGTTTATACCCTTTAAAAAAGCACAAACCATCATTATCCAACATTACTGGTGATGCTGGATAATAAAACATCTAGATAAATTGTGTCAGACACTGAAATGCCATTGTAAAAAACTTGTGTTATTTATTTGTTGTGGTTTTCTGGTTTCATTTTCAAAAGTTGGTTAAAGCTGTAATAAGATGGACTTGTTTTAAAAAGGAAGCCTTTACTTTTGTTTCTTCACTGTTAACCTACATTTGCAGAACGTGTTTGTCATTATGTTATTTTAGAGGGCTTTGATTTCATGTTTAATCATTTTCAGTTAAGAAATTTGAAATGTATCAAAATAAACTCCTGAAGTCTACAGTGACCATCTTGTTTTTGTTAGAGCCAGGTGGATGAGTCAACATCATACAGTTTTTCTGTGGTGGACTTTCTCTGACTAGATGAAAACATTTCTCTAAATTATTGTAATAATTATTATTATGATGTCATCTCTAAATGAGCCGTTTTGAATCCGTATTGTTTTTTACTGAACTGACTGCAAAACGCAACCCTGAAAAAAATGGAAACATTTTTTGGTGATTATGCAGGAAATTGTAAGGGATTTTTGCTTTATTACTTATTTTCATTTCATTTATCCATCTATTTTCTGAACCCGCTTTGTCCACACAGGGCCGCGGGGGGGCTGGTGCCTATCTCCAGCAGTCAACGGGCAATCAGGCGGGGTACACCCTGGACAGAGAGCCAGTCCATCGCAGGGCAACACAGAAACACACAGGACAAACAATCATGCACACACACACTCACACCTAAGGACAATTTGGACAGACAGAGCAATCAACCTAACAGTCATGTTTTTGGACTGTGGGAGGAAGCCGGAGTACCCGGAGAGAACCCACGCATGCACAGGGAGAACATGCAAATTCCATGCAGAAAGATCCCAGGCCGAGAAGCGAACCCAGGACCTTCTCGCTGCAAGGCAACAGCTCTACAATTAAACCATAAGACTACAAAAAAGTATAAAACTAACTAGATTTGTAATATTGCTTCGGTTTAGCTTTAAAACTCCAGACAGTAGATGACTGTTTTAATATCTAGTGGGAGTTTGTTCCACAGTATTGAAAAGGCCTGCAGTTAAACCCAGGCCTCCACAATGCAACTCTGAAATTGAGTCAAACCCGGAAATGAAATAAATTGCAGTTCCACCCTCATCCACTGGGGGCTGGTGTCAGAAACGAGCAAATCCTCATTGACTCCCATGTTAAAAATACCATTTTCACAGCAGAAATAAACATGTTTACAGCCTGGTACCAAAACATGTTTTTGGTTAAAATTATCTTTACACTCATGACAACTCTGAGGGGGGTAAATTTTTTTCTCACTCTTCTGTTTAAGTGTATTAAAAGCCTAAAATTCTGTATAATTAATGAGCATCAGACCCACTTGACCGCAGAGCTAGCTCCGGGGAAAGACCTCAGTAGAGCCTCGGTCTGGCTTGGAAATTGCTCCGGGATTTTGAGTCTCTGTGTTTGTGTATTCTTTTTTGGATATTATTTGTGCAATTGTTGGACAAAATGACTTGCTGTGGCATTAATTGCACTAATAGAGCATCCAAGGAGTCTCCATTTTTTTCGGTAAGTAAAATTATATTTATGTATTTTAGGTCACTGCCGAGCTGAGCTTCGATTTTAACATGTACTGTTTAACCATGAAATTTAAATGTAATAGGGTAAAACCCAGTGCATTTAACATAATGCTGCACTTTAGAAAATGGGTTGAAATATAACATGTTGGTGGAGCTGGGTTCCCACTATCGGCTTGTGGAGCTCTCGGGAGACCGATGTTTTCCACCCGTTCTCCCCTCCCCGCAGCTTGGCGCATCTCTTGTCTGATCGCGGCTTCTGTGTGCTCCGCAGGCTGACGGCTTGTGGAGCTCTGGGATGGAAACCTTTCCACCCGGTTCTCCCCAGCTCTGCGCATCTCAGATCGCAGCGGCGCTTGTCTGCTGTGCGGCTGCCGGCTTGTGGAGGTCTCCGAGACCTCCACAGAGATCTCGGAGACCTCTGTGTTCCACCCGGTTCTCCTGTCAGCCTGGCGTATCTCTGACTCAGAAGCTCTGGTGTTGTGCACAGTTAACTCCGGTTGTAGCTAGGTAGCTACCTCCGTTAGCTTAGCTCCCACCTCCGCGTTAGCTTTGGGTTAGCTTCAGGTTAGCTTGTAGCTAGTTCGACCGGGTGTCGTCAGTCGATCCCAGCCTTACAGCCCCACCCTCAGCTCCACCTCTCTTCCCTTTTGTGGAATTGTCTGGGCTTGACAGAACCTGTGACACGGTCAAAATGGCGGTGGTGGCCACCTCCCATTTTAGCAGAAAAACTTGTTATTGGAGTCTATGGAAACCCATTGTCCATATATTTATGTCGATGGTTAAACCTAGGCTCGACCAATAAATGGGCAGCAGTAGCTCAACAGGTTGAGCGGGTTGTCCGGTAATGGGAAGGTTGCAGGTTCGATCCCAGCTCCGGACAGAGCATTCTGCTGTTGTGTCCTTGGGCAAGACACCTAACCCACGTTGCCTGCTGGTGGTGGTCAGAGGGACCGGTGGCGTCTGTGCTCGGCAGCCTCGCCTCTGTCAGTGCGCCCCAGGGCAGCTGTGGCTACATCGTAGCTCATCCTCACCAGTGTGTGAATGTGTGTGTGAATGGGTGAATGATAACCTGTAGTGTAAAGCGCTTGGAGTCCTTACTCTGAGAGGCGCTATACAAGTGTGGGTCATTTAAATCCTTCTCTGCAGAGCGGATTTAAAAGGTGATTCAAAGATTGCATTATTCAAAGTTTCTCAAGACTCACCAGATAAAAATAAATCACAGGATCTGAAATCTGAAATATGACACATGTGAAAGGAAGCTATCGTACACAAGTGTTACCTGCAGCTCAACTAAAGCAAGGAAATCAATGTTTATATTGATATATTGATTGATATAAGTAACATGTATTGGAGAGAGGGTGCACGTAAATCCTCGTTGCTTTATTTTGGAAGGACATTGTACCATAAAAGCATTTAACAGCTGTTACCTATCTGCTGCCAGTGACCTTTCATCACCTGTTTCCTTATCTTTTATAACTTGAGATGCCAGCAGACATCTACATGAAAATCACAGATAGTTTGACTAACAGCTGCGTGCTCCTGTACTCATTCTAATCTCTTGAGCAAGGCTATAAAAATATTAAGTAAACATCTTTATGACTATTTTATCTTTATCATCTCTTTAACAGTAAGGACTACCAGTCCTTTAACCTCATTGAACATTTTATTCTACGTACAATCACGAGTTCTCCTTTGGACTTTAGTAATGAGATTAAAGTTAAAGTCACATTCTCCACGTGTGACAAGATGAGTTTCTATTTCATCTAGTTTCGTTTTTGAATCTTGATACTGAGCTTCATTTTCTATATGAGTGGTAAACCCTTAATCCAACATAGTTAATTTTAATATCATATAAGTTTTGGAGCAGAGTAATTATACAAAAAGTCTTAAATAAATGTTAACCTTCTCTAAATCAAACAGCACGTAGGTACTTCTAAAATGGTTTTACGACAATTTGTGCATAGACAGCACCATCTAGTGGTGGTGTCGGCACAGGATCTGCTCGGGGTCCGACTGCCGATGATGTCAAAATAGTTGATTGGCTGAACATGAAGCTTACGTTGTCATGTTATGATTTTGATTGGTCAGAACAAATTTGCGGTCGTAGTCTTAGCGGTTGTAGTCCTGTAGTCCAAAAATCAACACTTTTTGGAGAAAATATGTTTGAATTTCTAAAGGAAATGTAAAATATAAGCAAATGATAAACGGTGACCCTCAAATCTCTTGATGTTGATGAAATGGGGCAAAATAAGATATAAGAACTTTATTGAAAGACACCAAGCAATATTTTGAGTCAAAGAATGTATTTAGATAACAACTAAGGAAATATACAGACAAACTCCACATTAATACAGACAGATATGGCTTCACATATAAGAAATGTTCTATTTCTTGTCAGTTAGTTTTATGCAGTTTCACATTCTTTACAAAAAAAAGATAATATGGTGTTTTATTAACAAATTACAATTATAAAGAAAACATGTAGGTGTTAACAAACAAGAATTTATTAACAAAACTGCTGACGTCTTTCCAAAACATATGTGTGAAAGCCGAGTAGATTTCATCGACATATAAATATTGGACAATGGGTTTCCATAGCCTACAATAGCACGTTTTTGAAGAAATATGGGAGGTAGCCACCACCGCCATTTTGACTGTGTCACAGGTTCCGTCAAGCCTGCGGCACAGAGCCTGACGTGGTTCTACCAGCCCGACCCAGTGGCACCTGGCCTGGCGTGGTTCCATCCGCCTGGCACGGCAGCGCCATACCCGGCGTGGTTACGCCGGCCCAGCCCAGCGGCACCGAGCTTGACGTGGTTCTACCGGCCCGACCCAGTGGCACCGGGCCCGGCGTGGTTCCATCCGCCTTGTGGTGACTTGGTAGATTTGCAGTACTGTGATGTCATCAGCGGGTGCTGGACCCTGAGCCGATCCGGCACCCGAGCAGATCCTGTACCGACAGTGGCACCAAAGTAAAACGTATTTTATTCTCAGAGTAAAATAAAATAACCCTGGCAATTGTGCAATAATCTTACTTGTTTTTGACAAAAATCACAAGAGTGTTCAGATGTAAATAGAATATTTTTCACAAATCTGGCTTTAAACACTCCTACTCCAGAGTGTCAAGATGTTTATTGACAGGAGAAAATATCACATTGTCGTTTTTCTTTCTTCTATCTACATCAGCGGATGCACCATCATGTTCCTCAGGTCCCCTTGGTGCTGCAGGTATGATGATCCTACTAGTTCCACAAACAAGCATTTGCATTCTCACCATTTTCTGTTGAGTTCCGCTGTTTTGAAGACAACATTGAGAAAACTGCAGGATCTGATCTAAGAAGACAAACACTAAGTTTCTGTTTTATTAAAAAAAATATTAGCATTAGGATTAATAAAAGTTCCCACCTTTCAGTAATCCGAACCAAAACATTTAGTTATAGCACTGGCAGTGTGTGAATGTGAGAGTTCACGCAAGCGTCTTTGAGTGTTCTAATAAAGCGCTACATAAGTTTGATTATTATTATTATTATTAAAAAATTACCCTTTATCTCTAAAATATTGGAAAAGGTTGTGGCAGATCAAATGATTACTTTTCTGGAACTACACAACAATTTTGGTCAATTCCAGTCTGGTTTTGGTAAAAAGCATTCAACAGAAACAGCTTTGTTTAAAGTTTCCAGTGACATCATGATGGCTACAGACAACGGTGAATTCACAGTGTTAGTATTGTTAGATCTTTCTGCAGCTTTGACACTGTTGATCACAACACCTTCATTAACAGACTTGGTGACTCGGTGGGGATCTCTGGAACTGTTCTAGACTGGTTTAGATCGTACCTTTCTAACAGAAGTTACAGTGTCTGTAGAAACCAAATCATGTCAGATTCTACCCATCTGTTCTGTGGGGTACCCCAAGGCTCTGTTTTGGGTCCACTGTTGTTTCTACTGTACATACACCCTCTTCGACAGATACTTGATTCTTTTCATAATGTCTCTTATCACCTATATGCAGATGACATTCAGCTGTACTGCTCCTTTAAAGATTCTGAGCTCTATAAACTGTCTGAATCAGTAGTGTCTTTCAGCTATTCAATTCAATTCAAAAATACTTTATTAATCCCAGAGGGAAATTATCAATTATAATTGATTCTATCACCAGCTTATTAGAAGAAAACTTCCTTCAGTTAAACTCTGAAAAGACTGAATGTCTGATCATTGCCCCTGAGAGCATGGTTCCCCTGATTAGTCTAAAACTTGGTCATTTATCTCCTGCCTTCAAGACAAACTTAAAGAATTTTGGGTGTTGTTTTTGACCAATCGATTTCTCTTGAAGGTCACTCAAAAACGTTGTCCAAAACTGTTTTTATCACTTAAGAAATATCTCTGTTAGGGTCAAAACATGAACTTGAAATGGTTCTCCATGCCTTTATCTCCTCCCGTCTAGATTACTGTAACACACTTTTCACATGTTTAAACAAAAAAGCCCTTGACCGCCTTCAGTTGATCCAGAACTCTGCAGCGAGGCTCCTAACTGGAGCAAACAGAAGAGCACACATCACTCCTATTCTGACGTCTCTCCACTGGTTACCCGTTAACTTTAGAGTTCATTTAGAATCCTGACTATTACTTTCAGGATTCTACATGGTCAAGCTGGTTCAAATCAAATCAAATCAAACTTTATTTACAAGGCACTTAATACAGTTGTTGCAAATGTCCCCACATTCTTCTAATCACCATCCCATCCAACACTGGCGGCTGCATGGGTTAAGCCTTCTGCTCTAACCGGAGCCCTCAGGTCCACACACCAGAACCCTATAGAAGTTGCAAAGACTAGAAATAAAAGTCGAGGTGATCGATCCTTCCAGATTGTTGCACCTCGATTGTGGAATGAGCTTCCTTTAGCTTTACGTAGTTTTGACAGTCTGGACATTTTTTTAACCCTCTCAGGCTCAAAATATGTTTTGATAAAAGGACGAACTACTAAGTCCTTTAGGGGTACTTCTGAGTTAAAAAATGCTCATGAAATACGTACGTAGAGTAACCAGGTAGATTAACGCCTGCCTCCAGAGGGTTAAAAACCATCTGAAAAACCTTTTATTTAAAGCTACTTTTACTTAAATCTTTTGTTTTTTTCTGTTCAATGTCTTTTTAATTATATTTCTGTTGTTTTCGATTCAAAAATACTTTATTAATCCCAGAGGGAAATTGATTGCTGTAGTAGCTCAGAATAATAATAATAATCAAGTCATCAAAGAGTTATTGTATATTACAATGGCTGTTGGCAGGAAGGATCTCCAGTAGCGGTCAGTGTTGCAGCGAAACTGAAGAAGCCTCTGACTGAAGACACTCTTCCGTTGTCGGACAGTCTTGTGAAGAGAATGCTCAGGGTTGTACATAATTTTCTTGATTCTCTGGAGAATCCTTCTTTGCATTATCTCCTCCAGTGGTTCCACAGTCGTCCCCAGAACAGAACCAGCCTTTTTTATTAGGCTGTTGAACCTTTTCAGGTCCCTGCTTCTGATGCTGCTACCCCAACAGACGATGGCTGAAGAGATTACACTCTCATCAACAGACTTGTAGAAGATCTGCAGCATCTTGCTACAGACATTGAAGGACCTAAGCGTCCTCAAGAAGTGCAGTCTGCTGTGTCCCTTCTTGTAAACGGCTTCGCTGTTCTTTCTCCAGTCCAGTCTGTTGTCCAGGTGAACTCCAAGGTATTTGTATTCCTCAACCACCTCCACTTCTTCTCCCATGATGGAAACAGTGTTTGACTCCACCCTGTTTCTTCTGAAGTCTAAAATCATCTCCTTTGTTTTGTTCACGTTCAAGGTCAGATGATTGTTTCCACACCATGCCACAAAGCGCTCCACCAGCTCTCTGTACTCAGCTTCCTGTCCATCTCTGATACACCCGACAACTGCAGAGTCATCTGAGTATTTCTGTAGATGACAGGTCTCTGATTTGTACTGGAAGTCTGAGGTGTACAGGGTGTAAAGGAATGGTTTTATGATATTTTTGTGGTTTGATTTATGATCATTTTATAAGTTTTATCAGTTTACCGGTATATTTAAAATGTTTTAATCTTATTTAGTTTTTATGATCATTTTATGACTAAGATTTGGTTTGTTGTTCTTTGTGACTTTCTTTTTCTGTGATAAGTGCTGCATCACTCTTGGTTATCCTGGCGGTGTGCTTCAGGTCACTGGCCCTTCTAACACCTCCAACACAAAAGCGATCTCACGTGTTTGCTTGTGTCTTGATAGTCCTGAGTTTTTGGGACCCTCAACAGATTTAAGAGTTCCTTTCTTTGGATGCTTCATGGATGCTTAAGGGCAGCGGTAGCTCAGGTGGTAGTGTGGGTTGTATAATCGGAAGGTTGCAGGTTTGATCCCGGCTCCCGACAGAGAATTCTGCTGTTGTGTTCTTGGGCTGGTGGTGGTCGGAGGGACCGGTGGCACCTGTGCTTAGAAGCATCGCCTCCGTCAGTGAGCCCCAGGGCAGCTGTGGCTACAATGTAGCTCATCAGCACCAGTGTGTGAATGGATGAGTCTAAAGCGCTTTGGAGTCCTCTGAAAGGCGCTATATAAGTGCGGGTCATTTATCATTATCAATCTTTTTTTTAGTTATGTGGACAGTGCTGGTGGGCTTTTGACAAAGCGTATCTAAACGATATTCTCCCAAAGCTCCATGGCTCGTATTTAGAAAAATCATCTGGTTGTCTTGCATCACGTTTATTTTTTCTCAGAGACAAATGGTGTGATCACATGTTGTACGTTGGACTTTACCTCTAATCCAGGGGTGTCAAACTCATTTTAGCTCAGGGGCCACAGTGAGGGAAATCTAGTCCCAAGTGGGCCAGACCGGTAAATTAAAAACAACTTCAGATTGTTTTCTTTGTTTTAATACAATCAGTATAAAACAAGGCTGGAGCCTGAGGACAGTGTATCCAAAATAGTACAAGTACAACACCTGAAGTGTACTTGAAAATTTGAAAAAAATCAATCAATAAAAAAACATTCCTTAGTGATTCAAAGAGCTTACAGATCACATGGCTAGATCAGTTTCATGCATCACTTAAAGTATATTTGACTCATTTTACTTTACATCTTTTAGCTTTCACCAGCACATCAATATCAGAAGTCACATCCTGAGTGGCGGCCAACTTCAGGATGTGATTCAAGTTCTTGTGTGGGCCTTGAGCGCAGCTTTGGTTTATTTATACTCATTACAGAGGAAACTTGCTCACAAAGATAAGTTTATTTTCACTCTACATTGTAAAGTATGAAAATAAAGTTTACACAACCATCTCGCGGGCCGGATTTAACCCGCTTGCATATTTGACACCCCTGCTCTAATCATTTTGGAAGTTATTCAGGAATCTTTGGTTACAAAGAACAAGGAAAATGAGAAATAAATGAAAATGACATGCTGAAAACTAAGCTACAGTTCAGAAAAATAGGGGTTTTTCTAATAAGAATCTGTTTTGTGAAGAAATCTAATTCATCTTCATCCTTGTGTTCTGGGAGGATTTCACACCCAAGATCTGGTTACATTTTAATTTGAGAGTCTGCAGCTGCTCCTGCGCTGAAGAACAAAAACATTTGATAACATTTACCCTTTTATATCTATGCTGTCCTGCTTTTCCCGTTTCAAACACAGCTGTGGCCCAAACAGCTACAACTACATTCATCCTGTCTGCTTATCATTTACCAAGCTGATAAATAATGACCAAACTTTGTATTAATCATTGTGCGCACTGAAACTCTAATTTCTCTCTGGGATTAATAAAGTATCTTTGAATTAAACTCAAAGTGTTTGGCATCTGATCTGGAAGAATGCAAAATGTCAATAAAACCAAGAAGTCTAACACGGAGCATGTGTTTTAAACTCTGCTTCAAATTGATCATTTATGTTCAAAAATCTAAATCTGATGAGCTGAGATGATTTTAAAAAGGATAAACTACAGATGACTGGAGGATGGAGCTCCCTCTGGTGGTGAATAATAAAACAGCAAGGTAAAACATGACCTTATTCCATTAAATAAAATCACCTAAAACAGGTTTGAAGCATCAAATTCGTTCTAAAAGTGTCTCTGATTACATGACCTGATGTTTCTATCTCACATCTAATTATAACTTTGAAACTCTTGAGTCTGAAAATACATGTTTTAGACATCTTGATAACACATTTTATGGAAGGTTTATAGGGTTTGTGTCTATTATATGACAAATCTGCTTGCCCCACCATGCCAAGCTTGTGCAATCAGACGGATTCCCTGTGTTGTAACTGCTTTCAGTAATTTTGTACATGTCTGTGTAGCTGAAAACTGTTGTAACTAACTTTTGCTGCCTCTTGGCCAGGACTGCCTTGAAAATAACCTCAATAAGACCTTCCTGGTTAAATAAAGAATAAATAAATAAAATAAAAATTCTGTCTTATCAAAAATTGTTAAAATTTTCCCATTTATGATGATAAACGTTCACAAAAAAATGTAATGTCACTAATGAAAGAGTGATTTTAACACTTCAAACTGAGTCGCAAACACAAAAAATTAAATTACAATGATTAAAAATATTAAAATGAGAAAAGTGAAAACATGCGATAAAAAATGTGAAGAAAGGGAGAGAGAACATAAATGAGAGATAATCTGTGGATCCTGGGAAAGAAAAACATCTTAAAGTTCAGTATTGAAGCATTTTACTCTTCATCTCATCTTCCCTTCAAAATTAAATGGGTTTATCAGTCACATTGAACATCAGCACTAATACCAGTGAGTTAACACAGTCATCCTGCGGACTCAGTCACTTCCACGGCTTTGTCTCCCTGATCACAGACTTGTGAACATTTATAGTCTCTCGTGGACGGACAGTTTTGTCTTTTGGAGTTTTTGAGAACTTGTTTCTCGAATCTTTGGTCATTTTCACAGCAGCCGCAGCCTCTCTCTGACGGCTCACAGCATTATTCTGCTTATTTCTGTTTCTTGAAGGGCTGCGATCAGACAGATTTGCGTTTGTTCTGGTCTTCTTTATATTATTCTGTGTTGCAGTCAGCTCTTGTCCCTTAACTGGGGAGTTTTGTCTCAAACCAAGCATCCTAGCTGAAGAGTTTGTCCCGGAGAATGAACCGATGGTCCTTTGGGAGTTTGGATTAAGCTTATCGTCCAGCAGCTGTCTGTGTGCTTCAGCTGCAGCATATCTTTGATCCATCATGAATTTAGGTTCTGCTCTCTGGATTGCTTTTTTACTCTGCTTTTCCAAAGACGATGCCTGCATCCTGAGACCGTCATCACTGTGTGTATAACCGTTCATATGAGGATAATCCTCTCTTCTGCAGCTTTCAGACGTCACACGCTCAGAGAGAAGAGAATTTCCTGTCTCAACACCTGTGCGTCCACACTGAGAGTCCACATCAGGCTTTGAAGGTTGTTCTCTCACTTTGAACAGAAACAGATAATTATTACAAATACAAATATGTGAATGTTGGTTTTATTGGTTTTATCCATCTTATGAAGCAATCTGCGCCAATTTAAAATTAAACACCTTAAAAAACAAATATCCTAAACAGAGACTCAACTCGGGCTGAACGAATAACTGCATGTGCAATTAAATTGCGATGTGATAAAAGGAGATTTTCAAATCGCAAAGGCTGCGATTTGACTGGCAGCGAGTGGTTAGCACAATGCTAATAGAGCTCCGGACCCCACGTGACTCTCAGTTAGTAGACGCCATATTGGCAGGTAAAAGAAGCTAAACAAACACGGATGTAAACATGAACGTGAACGGGATCAGCTTGGATTTTACTTCGTCTGAGTTTACTTCACACTTTAAAACCGAAGAAATCGTTTTATATAGTCAGAAATTAAATAGACTAAACATCTCCGACCCTTACCGTGCCCCTGGGATACTTTTTAAAAACGCCAGAAGCTGTCGGAGCGGACTTCTTACCGGACCTGGCCAGGGAACCCCTTGGGATTCCCCCGGAGGAGGAGGTGGCTGTGGAGAGGGAAGTATGGGCCTCTCAACGCTACTGCCCCCGCAACCCGACTCCAGATAAGCGGATGAAAATGGATGGATGGATGGACAAATAACATAGATTTACATGTAAGTAGTTTAAATAGAGGGCTGTGCTGTTTGAATGTATAAACTGAACGCCAAGAGAAATCACTAGTCTGATTTTTTTCCGTGAATAAAATAAAAATGTCAGGCAGGAGAGTCTCAGGATCTGTCTGAGGTCTGTCTCGGTGAGACAGATAATAGCAATCCAAAGTGCTTTTTATGTGTGATCTGACAATTGATCAACCATTGCTTAAAAATTAAATACAGCTTAGCCGGTTAATTGCTGTGATCATAAAACACGTAAACGGCAGCACGCAGAAATCACGAGGCAACGTTTTACGTGATGTTTACTTGTTACTATGAGTAATAAGACAGAAAAAGCCACGCCAAAATAAGTTTAGGAACCCCACTAAGAATCGTAATAAAAGCATTTAAAATAAATACCACACACAGTTGAGGAAACGTTGGTTTAAGTACCTGATATGAAGCGGTCGCTGCATAAGTGAAAACCTTTACTCTCGGGATCCCACAGCTTCATTTTAGCCCGGTCACTAGCGTGTTTTTTAACAATGATCCAACGTTTGGGGCGCTCCGGATCTTGGTGAAACTTGTAGATGGCTCATTCCTTATGCCGTCGGTGTCTGTTCTGCATCCTGGGGCACAACAGGAATCTACCATATTTCCTGTCTGATTGAGTTTTCTGACAATAACAAATAGTCCAGCTGCCGGCTTCTACCTGCCAATATGGCGCTGTTTCGATTTGAACGGTTGCATGACAGGAGAAGTGACGTCAACTCCCGGAGCTCTATTTACATGGAATAACCCATAGGGATGCTAATGCTAATATCGCTGATTTTATTCTTACAAATTACGAATTAGGAACGTGCCAAATGATTACATTTGGAGTCTAATAAAAAGTAAAAACTGCCATCAATCAAATAAGCACAGACAGATATTTTAGTAAAGCTAGAAAACCGTGAGAGACTTTAACTCCACTGAGTTTTGGCTAGCAGATATGGATGTAACTGAACTACAGAAGCCCTGCATAGACAAAACGTCCAAAACTCTAAACACAAAAGACTTAAATAAACGGGACACACTTCTTTCCTGCAGATAAATTTTCACAGTTGATGCTAATACCTATGCTCCTTCAAGGGATGTGCTCCTGGCTGCAAAGCATTACACCTTAAACACAAAATGTTGTCTACTTGTGAGTGTTTATGTTTACAAAGAAACTTGTTGATATGAGACAGATAAAAATGTAGAAACATAAAATAGATTATATTCAGCACAAGTTACATAGATTTTTTTTTGCTTCTGTTAGTTGAAAAATGAGAAAATAATTGTGAATTGAATCATACTTGCAATAATGAAGAAAAAAATTCGCAATTAGATTACTTTCCAGAATCGTTCTGCTCTAGATTCATCTATTTGTACACCTACCCTTTCTATACATGAGGAGATAAGCCGTCCTCGACGTGCTTTAACAAAGTAAAACACACAAGGAATCATTAGGATCAACATCAGCAGAAATAAGAACAAAAAGCAAGGAATCTCCATCACTGACCTTATTGAGATTTTTTCAAAATAATGTTCAACCTAAAAGATTAAAAGAGTGTGTAAATGTCTTGTGAAACATCTACCTATGTGGGGACAAAAGATGGGCCTTACCCCTGTAACAAAGCCATCATTGAAGCAATACCAGGTTCCAGTTTCAAAAGACTTGATGTCTGCAGTGTAGTGTCCTCCTGTTAGATCACCGTAGTGATGAACCACAGCGTAGAGGTCATACCTGCAGCCCTGAAAACAGAAAACACTCATTAAATGGATGCTAGGCCGTTTGGCTTGCTTTTAGCACCCCCTAGTGTTCCAAATGTGAAACTAATCAGCTGTGTTCCTGATCTAAAACACGCAGGAAACTACAGGAAGCAGACTGCAGCACCAGGCACGTCAGCTCCACTTTACTAAGTCCAACAGGGGCCGGACCACTCTGAAGTTGCAAGTGTGATATTCTGGCCACAGAGGGTGGTGGGAGTCTGAGTGACATTTCATTTACCCTCGAGATTCAGGGATTCCCTAAGTGTGGTGCACGGACCCCTGGGGGTGCGCAAGGTGAAAAGTGTAACGGCTGCGGAGCTCAGAGAAGTCTGTCATGTCACCATTAGTGTAGGCAGAAACTCATTTGTGGGTAGGCCTAAGAAAAAGTAAGTATATTTTGCCTGTGTGTGTGTGTGTGTGTGTGTGTGTGTGTGTGTGTGTGTGTGTGTGTGTGTATTTTGCTTGTGTGTGTGTGTGTGTGTGTGTGTGTGTGTGTGTGTGTGTGTGTGTGTGTGTGTGTGTGTGTGTGTGTGTATTTTGCTTGTGTGTGTGTGTGTGTGTGTGTGTGTGTGTGTGTGTGTGTGTGTGTGTGTGTGTGTGTGTGTGTGTGTGTGTGTGTGTGTGTGTGTGTGTGTGTGTGTGTGTGTGTGTGTGTGTGTGTGTGTGTGTGTGTCCTCCGCATGTGCCCTAGCTTCATAATAATAATGCGCCGAGCTTCAGCGCACTGACCTGCGCACGCTGTTAGTAGCAAGATATGTTCCGTATTTGATAATTTTTAACGGTGTTGGAGGAATCTGAAGGTGGTGAGTCATTCTGGCAGATTGTAATTAACACCCTGTCTCATGCAGGTGTTCTGACATTGTAAACCTCACACACTGAACATTGTGGATGTAACTAAATAAAGCAAGAAATGATTCCCATCTAGGGCTGGGGGTAAACGATTATTTTTAAAACGATTATTCTGACGATTATTTTATCGAATAGTCGACTATTCTAATGACTATTTAGAAAATTAATCTAATGATTATTTTTCTATTGCACAATTAACAAAAACCAGAAAATCTCAAATAAATTCCTCAAAAAAAATTGATAAATTCTTACTGTAAGAGAATAAACACTACAGGCCTTCCATTTTGTATAACACTGCGTTTATTGTGTTGGTTGGTTATGTTCTGGTGACGTGTAGAACTTGGGAGTGCAGGCTGCTGCCTGAGAGGTGGTAGAAGATGGAGTGTCTCCATGCTGCTTTGTTTTGGTCACTTATGTGCGTGAGGCGAGTGGTCTTACGGGTTAAACCAAACTCAGGTGATATTTTAAACTAAACCGCAAACCCACAACACTCTAAATGTAATAAAAGGGAGATCTACACCACAAAAAAGATGAACTCTAAACCAAAACGTAACAGCTTATCCCAACGCAAGAAGCTGTTAGCGAAGATGCTAACAGTAGCTTTACCAACATTTAGTTCAAGTTACCAAGTTTAAATAAACCAAAAACACCCAGCAGCAAACAGACCAGCACGGAGGAGAGACTGCTACCACCAAAACAGCTCTCCTCATGTCTGAAAGAAGCTCCTTTATGAAGGGAGAAGCGCTCCAGGTGATGTTCTACATCTGCGATAGAGACGAAGCAGCGCATCTGACCCCGGAAGTTGTTGTCCGTTGCCGGGAGACGAAGGCGGGCAAAACAGGAAAATAATCTAGTAGTGGACGGACGTTGTTCCGGGTCTTCGGTATTTGGCGGAGATGTTAGTGAAGGCGGAGAAGAGGGCGAACTAGAGGAAAAACAGGCAGATTCCTCCTCTATTTACAAACTCCTGGGGATGCAACAAGTGGGCGCGGTGCGTCGACTTCCGGATCTGACGTCGACAAATTTTTAGAATCGAGCCGTCGACATAGTCGAGGCTTCGCTACAGCCCTATTCCCATCTGAGCATTTTAGCTTTATTATATTATTATATTAGCACACGGACTGTGGGACAGCATTCTAAACGTGTCAGGCTATAACAGCGCCCTGAAGATCTGAAGTTCAGAGTGCGTCTGTCAGAGGTCAGACGCGTTCCAGCGGAACCACGGCTCACGGGTGCACATGTGAGCACATCTGGGCTGGGCAGAAGTCATTTTACAACATTGGTTTAAATAGCGCCAATAACGAGACGCGGTGACTGGAGCGGCTCATGGAGCTGTGCCGCACACACACACACACACACACACACATACTGATTCAACAAATGCACACTGCGCTGTGCCGTCAGACTGAAGGCAGAAATTAGCGCTGCCGCTTCCGTGATAAAAAACTTTTAAGAGGTTTTATAACAACATTTTTCATTCAAGGTCATATTAGCTTCTATTTTGGGATGACGAATTAAAGTCGAGTCCGCTCCAGCCAGTGACTCCTCATGAACCTGACTACAACTCATGTTACTGCAGCATTTGTTATTCCAGTCCGCGTGGCAGCGGATCGCAGATTCAGCCATACCATAAAACAGCAATAAGTCGGTCTGAGGCAAAAGTGAACCTCATGGCTATAGCTTTTCCATCTTTTCCTCTACAGACATTTGATTACGCACAAGTAGGTGACCAGTTCAGGTTTACGCAGAGCAGAAGGAAGGAGAGAGCTCTGGTTAAAAGTTCCTGCTTTAAGAAAACCGTTAAATTGCATTGTTTATGTTCTACCTGGGCACTCTAAATATTGATTTAAAATTAAATCAAAGGAAATTGTAATGGTACTGAATGTTTATTAATTACTATTTAAAAAATACATAATACATAAACATAAAAATGAAAGTGGTGGGGAAAAAAGTCGAGCATATTTTTTTTTAACCCTGTCTGTCGAGTGACTGTTTAGCGTGACGTCTGATATATATATATATATATATATATATATATATATATATATATATATATATATACAGCCATGCCCTGATGTGGGGCTGGGGGGGGTGTCGACATGGTCGGGATATAGAAGGGGGTGCGCGGCTAAATAAGTTTGGGAACCACTGCCCTAGAAGGTCATTTTAGCACATACTGGCTCAAGAAAATGATTTAAAAATATGAAAAAGTTGCAAAGTATCCCTTTAAATTCAAACTCGAGTCAACTTGAAGCTGTTTGCACGAGCAACAGGAGTTTAATACCTCAATGTTTAGAGTTGGGACCACATCAGTGCTGGACTGCAGCTTTGTGTAGCGGCTCTGCTTGTAGTCTAAGGTGAACCTCTTCAGCAGCAGCGTCAGAACATCTGGACTTTGTGTCATCTCGTATTTCTGCAACACACAATAAAAATTTAAAAAACAAATGCATGTGAGAGAGACAGCCATGATTCATGATGAAAAGTTTTAGTAACAGAAGGCACCTCACCGTGTCAGCGTCCTGCTTTGCGTCGCAGTTGTTGCAGAACATCTGGTTTTCCTCGCTGACTTTTTGCTCCTTAAAGAAATCCTCTAATCCCTGCTGCTGTGAAAAAGAAAGAGTTGTTCGTCCCACATAAACAGTGAAGGTTAGTAAATCTCATGAGGACTGGGCGATTCGTCTAATTTTTAAAACCTCCAATCGTCCAATAGATGACGGTGGACGATACATTCGCGCAGGTGACTCTGAGCAATGTAATCACACACGGACCGATTTGCAAACACAGAAGAATTCCGCACATGGATTAGGGCTGGGCGATATGACGATTTTAGACCGTTTTACGATCTACACATCTGACGGTCTGTCATTTTTGAGAGACCGTTTTATCACGATTCACAGCTCTGCTGTTGAATTTCTGCCTCTGAATGAAAAGGGAACTCACCTCAGGCGAATGACACGCCTTTGTTTGACCCTTAACCAATCAGAGTGAGTCATAGTAATATATTAGTGCCCCCGCTTGTTTTCACTTGTGTGTGAACAAACATGGCTTCGCCGCGGCTGAGCGACAACGAGGTTTTCGTTCCGAAGAGGAACGCAGGGTTTCCTTAGCGCGCGGCGCTAACAACTTAGCAACGTGACATGTCTCGGAGAAAGCGTAAAAACACGTTGGACGCTTCTTCTGAAGCAGGAAAATAACACCACTTCTTAAGCAGAGCACGACACCGCCTCGGCTCGTCCACCCTCTGCCGAGCCGGTGTCGGTACCGGACTGAGCTCGGTCACTGGGTCGATGGAGCTGCCCCGTGACTGCCTGATGGAAAACCAGCGGGTTTCATCAGACTCGTAGTTTCTTGTTTTTGCTGGGACCCCCTGTAATTTACCACTCCCTCCTGCAGTCTTCCCCTATTAACATTTATAATGATTCTGTAAACTCCGTGTATCAATAGAAACGACCTCTGCCTCTGCCAGCTGCAGTAAATGTAGTTTCCAAATAATAAGAGGTGCATTCATCTGTGTATCTCCTTTGATCCACATTAGTGATATTTTCAGCACCAGAACAGTGAAGCAAAGAAAGATTCCTGAGTTTGTTAGTAATTTTATTTATTAGGTGCATCTAACCTGTTCTATTTTTCTCTGAAATGAGATCAAATCAGTGCTTCTATGGGTTGTCTCCAATCTGCACTAGAAAATTTTACTTTATTTAGAGACTTGTTGCAGAAAATATTCAGAATGCGCAGTTTTTTGCTACCACAAGCGATCTCTGGTCCAGCCGCACATCAGAGCCGTATTTGAGCTTAACTATCCACTACATGAGCAACTGGGAGCTACATAGTATTTTGAACAAGTTAATGTTTGCACAATACGTTTGCAATTGACATGTTTGCACTTTAAATATGTTTACGATTTTAATTTATGTTAAGTTACTTGAAAAACGAGAAAAACTGATTTTTGTAATTGTTTCTCTCAGGGCTTTTATCATCTCTGGTGTGAGTTTAAAATATGTGTGTTAGCACTGTGCTGATCATCCCTAATATGAATAAATGTTTATTTATTCAATGTTTCTCTTCTTTAATACGCAATTGAAGTTATGCTATTCATGGATAAAAAAATCGTGATAAAATCGAAATCGTGATAAAATATTGGAAAAATCGTGATATTCTATTTTTGCCATATCGCCCAGCCCTAACATGGATTATTTTTAATGGAAGCGTAGAGCACATGTTTGCTGGAAGAGCCATTTAGATTTTTCTTATTTTTTGTTGAATTTTGTATTTGTAGTTTGGTAGAGTGATGTATAAACGGCCCGTATTAAACACGGTTAAAGTGTTAAAAAGAGCCTCGTCTTTGTTGGTATTTTATTTAAACTGTTTCAATTCAATTCAATTCAAAGATACTGTATTAATCCCAGAGGGAAATTAGAGTTTCAGTACACACAATTCTGAGCTCAGACATACATATGCATAGACACATGACAAGAATTGGTGACTGTGGTCATTCGCAACCCTGAGTCGCGCTACCTTAATAGAGATCAGAGGGTTACATGAGGATTGGTTCAGGTGGAGGGAAAAATAAAAGGCACTTCAGAGTTACCCTCCACAGGGAGGGCAGCTTTGCTCTGCAAAAAACACCTCAGACAGAAATGCAACAGACTTCAGACAACACAACGTAAGTGTCCACTAGTCAGTTCCTGCAGCCACGATAAGCAGCGCACGTCACCTCAGACTGGACAGGGGAAGGAGGTCGTTGAGGTTTGGAGGGCACAGTGACCCCTGGAACGATTCAGCAGCCTTCACAGCCCGCAGTCCTGCCCAGACTGGGATAGGAGACAGAGTTGCCATGGCTACGGCAGCATTCCACATTTCTTCTGAAGGGGGAGTATTCGTTGCAGCCTTACAGGCTCAAGGGCACCAGATTCAGATTAGAAATTGTTTTGGGGCCAGACAGAGATCATTTCCTCTCTGTCCTAGAGTTCCGCTGGTCCTCAACCTCTCAAAATCCCAATAATGGCGTAAATTAATCTGTCACAATCCGTGCTGATTCGTCCACTTTCTCCTTGATGGCATCCATCTTTTGTGCCAAAGCATGAATCTCTGCCAAAGTTCCAAGCTTACGACTCATCTCGACAATTATGTGAGTCTGTGAATTTACAGTGCGGTGTAATCCATCCCTGAGCTCCGGGACAGCGCCAATATTCCTCAACAGCTCGTTAATTTTCCTCCTAGGCCAAAGAGCAGGAAACCTGACACCAACACCACGAATATCCAGACGTCTTCAGAATCCTCCACAGACAGTTGAGATAGGCAGATCAAGTTCCACTGTTTCCAGGAGTCCATGATATGCCCAGCTGGCTCTGTCCCAGAGGGGCACCCGGGAGCCCCTTCTCCCGTTCTCATCGTTGAAAAAATGTTATCAATCGCGTTAAGTGACCAACTGACCAGGTCTATTTTAGCTATTTCAGTTTCCAGTTACAGAAGCAGCCGTGCACCCAGAGACAGACAAAGAGCCTTGGGGTAAGATAGGGAGGAGAGGAGGAAAAATGCGTCTGCACCCTCCAAGAGCCGGAACCCAGTAGCCTGAACACGGGCTACTGGGTTTCCTTTTTATGAGTTTGAGTAGGAAATGAAATGAACCGCTGCTGCATTTGGACGCGCTGTGAGGAGGGTGAATTCGCCAGAGGTCACATGATCCATTTATCCTCCTCATTCGCATTTTTAAAATAATACAAAAACATTCAATAATACCATTAATTTTCCATTCATTTTCAATTCTATGTGTGTAACGTTTTAAATATCTGCACACCTGCATGAGTCACTAACAAATTCACTCACAGGCAAACAAATAAATAAACAAACAAACCGTCTCTTGTAAGACCAACTGTTGAAAGGCTCAGCCCATCGTCGATAGTCGAATAATTCGTCCCATCGCCCAACCCTACATCATATTGTGGTTAAAGAAAAACTTCCTACCAGGTTGAAGCTTTTCCTGCTCGAGGCGTCCATTGAGAGGGGAAGAAGCCAAAAGAGGCTTCTGGAATCGTTGGTCTGTCTGCACTTGCGGCAACTGGTTTTATGCATCAGTTCTCCTTTAAAAACCTAAAAGTCAATGTTTAATTAGTGTTGTCTTCTGCTAGTTTAATGGTGCAAAGTGACCTAAATTTAGTTCTAAAAGATGAAGTGTGTTGTATTTTAGTCTGGAGGAATCAAGTAAACAGCAGATTAAACAAATACTCAGATAAGTTAGTATTTTTCTAGTTGCACAATAGAAATCACCATCTTTACAACAGGACTGACAACGCCTGTCATTTGATGATGAGCGTAAGTTTACTGATTTATTGTTTAATGACAAATTTCTCTTTTTGTTTGGCTTTTTGATATTTTCCAGTTTAAAACCTATTTTACAACCACTTTATTAGCTGCTAATGTTGGTTATGCATTAGTATAACGTGATACTACCTTAGAGGCATTTTCATTGGTCTGACAGAGGATCTTCTCAAAGTACTCCGCGGCATCACGTTGCTCGTACACTAAAAAGAAAAGTTTTTTTGATGTTTTCATTTATTTATTTTTTTGATACAGGGGCAGACAATTTGTCCAAATGAAGCCTTACCATCTTTGATTCCCAGGTGTTTAGTGATGCTGTGGGTTTCAGCCACGTTTCTCTCTAAATTACAGAACAGCTCTCCCAGATGTTGGTCAAGAGTTGTTGAACAATTACTGAAGACAATAAGGTGTTAATGTATGCTCAGTGAAACAACACTCTTAATAAGTGAACAGATTTCAGTGCACAAATGAAAAATATTCCAAAATGTCTAAATGCACAAACCTTTCCACAGCTTCTCTGAAGTTCTCAGTCATGAAAAGCACCTGCAGCACACTGTTCAAAAAACATGTCAGACCTGGACTCCTGAGGCCATGATAATCTAAACACACAACAGGAACAAATAACTATCACATGATCTGTCACATATGATATCTACATGGTTTTGTTTCACGATGCATCACCTACCCGAGATGGACAAGTTCCCAAGTTTTTCTGCAAAGGTTTTTACAATACGATGATCCATACTGGTGTAGTTCAAGTGATAATATGGGCATTTTTGCATCTTTTTGCATTTTTTTTCTTCATTTACTCATGGATTCATCCTGTTGGGACATCAGAGACACAACAAAGTTTCCCTGTAAGAAGAACTGATGATGAAAAGAATAAACACCTACATTTTGTCATGTAAATACAAAAATTTGACTTGTTTGTTTTGGTAGAAAGAAATGAACTGTTCGGTTGTGTTGTGTTTAAATCTGTTTTTAGTGATACCTAAAATGTTAATAAACGTGAAATTACACAAAAGCCTGTCATAAAAGTACTGATTATGCTTTAAATGATAAATGACCCGCACTTGTATAGCGCCTCAGAGTAAGGACTCCAAAGCGCTTTACACTACAGTGTATCATTCATCCATTCACACACATATTCACACGCTGATTGTGATGAGCTACAGTGTAGCCACAGCTGCCCTTTAGAATAAACGTCAGATGTTTTGGCCTACATAAACGTAATAAACAGATTTGGGAGTCCGTGAACGTATCAGTCGTGCTTTGCGGTGTCATGGAAATCTCGCCATGACTTCGCGCCTCCGACACGTTGTAAACACAGTTTGAAACAATTAAACGATAAAATAAAGTTTATCAGGCTGGTGCTCTTACAATAAAGCACATGATGGGTTTTATCTAACTTTTAGTAGCAGAATGGGAGGGTAAAGCACGCAGAGACTCACCGAACAAGCAGCTTATCCGTTTTCATCCCGCCCGCCGCTGCGTTTCACTTTCGTTAAGAGTCCGAACGGAAGGAGGAGGAGGCGACAGAAGGTGGACGGAAGCAGCGGAATGTCACAAACTACCTCTCACAACTGAAATTGGGCACGGATAGCAGAAAGTTTACCTTAAAACCTCTAAACGATCAGCGAAAGTATCTGTTAGGACTGACTGCTAGCTAGAGTACACCGTTGCTACTTCCGGTTAGCACAACAAGGGAGTTCCTGAGAGAAAACTTCCTCCAAGGTAAGCCCAAAACACTGCTGATTGTTAAAATGTCTCTTATATTTGTTATTTTTATAGGTCCTGAGGTAAGATGCTCATTTCTGCTGCGTTTTTAAATAATTTTGTCCGAATAGATGAAAGTATTATTATTACACACTTCAGTCAAGTTAGCAAGATATTCACAAAGTCGTATCTGTGAATATCTTGCTAACTTTACTGAAGTCTAAATTACCAATATTAACATTGTTTTTGGTCGTTTTTGCATTTTATTTCACAAATTATCTTGAATTAATTATTTAATTGTTTCATATTTGTTTTAAATTTTATAATATTTCAAGTTGAGCTGATTTATTACCATGTAATAAAAGCTTTTAGTGGAATTATCAGTTTGAACCAGGAAAGGCCTTTGGGTTTCCCTGAAGAGTGAGTCAGTTTAATAGCATTTACGGTTGTTGTGCCAACAACAGGCGTCAAAACTAGCCTCAGATCAAATGTCAGACTAATAATAGTTGCTCAATATTATCTTAACATGCCATCAGTTTAGCAAACATTCAGACTATGGCACTATTTGCATGCTAAAAATGCAGCTATGAACTGTCAAATTAGTTTTAATTGCTGTGAAGCAACTGCAGCTTGTTCAGAATGCTGCTGCTAGAGTCCTAACAAGAACTAAGAGAATGGAGCACATCACTCCTGTTTTTAGATCTTTACACTGGCTACCAGTAAACTGCAGAATAGATTTCAAAGTGCTCCTACTAGTTTATAAATCACTCAATGGCATGGGGCCAACACACATGTCAAATCTCATTCCTGCATATACACCCAATAGGGCTCTGAGATCCTTAGGTAACAATCAGCTAGTAGAACCATGGGTCAGAACCAAACAGGGTGAAGATGTTTTTAACTGCTATGCTGCTCACTTTTGGAATCAGCTTCCCCATGACCTCAGATCTGCCCCAACCGTAGTGTTGTTTAAATTAAAACTTAAAACCCTAATGTACTCATCAGCCTTTGAATGAATTGTTTCTTGTAATCTCTGATGTAATTGCTCAACCTTATTCTGTCTTTTCCTTTTAGCTCTAAATTATACTTTTATTTGTTTATATTTTAATTTCTGTTCTCATATTTGTTGTTGTTGTTTTTGTTGTGCCATTTCATGCTAACTGTAAAACACACAGAATTGCCCTGTGTTTGAAATGTGCTATATAAATAAAGCTGCCTTGCCTTTTAATGTAACTGTCTGCACTTTACATGAAACATAGTTTTATTCTTTTTGCATAAGTGTTAAAACTCATGTCCCAATGCTCAGGCAGCTGTTTCTAATGATACAAATATCATTTTTATCAGTTATTTTGCTTAGATTTACACTTGTCATCATTTTATATACACAAGGAATGGTTTATGTTAATGCAAACTAGATATATATCACATTTAAACAAAATCTTATCTTTGTTTTAACATATAAAGCTTTTAAATTTTTAAATACAAGGACTGTTCCCCCTTATGTTAATTTTATAAATGATTTGATATGCTGAAAACCTGTATTGTAATTGAATTTGTATCAAAAAGTAATTTGTAGTAAACGTATTACAATGACAAATACAGCTGTGATGCGTTTGTCAGGACTCAGGTATCTCCCGGCTGACGTTCGGACCACAACTCCCGACATGCTCCTCATGGGGAGCTCCCAGCGTGCTCCTCGCGGGGATTCCCTCCACGTCACAGCCAAGCAAGGCTATATATGGAAGACGCCGGTACCGGCTTCTCATCTCAGTCATCGTTTCTTCCTCACAGAGATACGACCGGAGAAATAATAAAACTGTTAAACGTCTCACCTTGTTCGTCTCCTTCATCCAGTCTGATCAGCCCGACAGGATGACTGAGATCCAAGTAGATCCGACGGAGATCGATCGTCTCCGCCACGAGAACGTGCAGCTGCGTTCCATGGTAGATCAGCTCAACACCAAGGTGAACTCCTTGTCCGACCACACCCTGCGTCTATCCACGGCTCTCACGGCTCTCCAACAACAAGCAAACGATCAGCAGCAACAGATCGCGGCACTCCAGCATCCAACCCGCTCTGCTCCTAGGGAGGAGCCCCACTTCAGCCTGCCGGAGAGGTGGAACGGAGAGACGGGGAGCCCTGATGGTCTGCTCGCCACGCTGGACATGCAGTTCGAGTGCCAACCTGGACGCTACCCATCTGCGCGCTCCCGAGTGGCGCATCTCACCTCCCTGCTCTCCGGACGCGCCGCGGAGTGGGCTGCTGCGCTTTACAATTCCAAATCCCCTGCCTGCAACGACTATGCTGCGTTTGTGTCCGCTCTCCGGAAGACCTTTGTTCCCCCCAGCAGCGAAGTGGGAGCAGAGACACGCCTTCTCAAACTCCGCCAGCGGGAACGCTCGGTGTGCGCTTATGCGTCGGAGTTCCGCACCATCTCCGCCAAGCTGCAGTGGAATGACTCCGCTCTGCGGGCCGCCTTCCTGGAGGGGCTGGCACCCTACATCCGTGATGAGTTGGCGGGAAGGGAGCTGCCTCAGACCCTGGATGAGGTGGTTGATCTGGCGCTGCGCATCGACCAGCGGGTTCTGGTTCGACCCAAGTTATCCACGCGTCCCCCCAGGATGCCGGTGCCTCGCCCTCGTTCACCCACGCCAGCTCCTGTACCCATGCTGACGGAGGAGCCCATGCAGCTCGGCCACCTTCCCCCCAAGGAGAGACAACGACGGTGGCGCGAGGGCCTCTGTGCCTACTGTGGCTCTCCCGACCACCGACGCCTGGACTGCCCGCGACGATCGGGAAACGGGGGGCCCCACTGAGTATTGGGGTCGCTCAGTCTGGGTCTTCTTCTACCCCTGTCGCTACTAACCGTCTCCTTATTCCTGTCACCCTCCTCCATGGTGAGGCCTCACTCCACGTAAACGCATTGGTGGACTCGGGGGCCGCGGACAATTTCATGGACCTGGATCTGGCAAAACGCCTACGGATCCCCCTACAACCCCTGGAGAGGGTTATACCAGTGACCTCGGTGGATGGTAGGCCTCTCCAACCCTACCCAGTCCGAGACCGAACCCAGCCACTCCGTATGATCACCCAAGGCCACCAGGAGACCCTCCATTTCCTGATCATTTCTGCTCCCTCTTCTCCCCTAATCCTGGGGTTCCCCTGGCTCCGTCTCCACGACCCTCATATTTCCTGGTCCCAGAACCGCCTGCTGGGCTGGGGGACCTCGTGCCAGACCCACCTCGCTCCTCCTCCATCCTCGGCGGGTCTTCCGGACGGGGGCCCCAGCTCCACACCGCCCCACCTGCCGCTGCCCTATCGGGACCTGGCCGCGGTGTTCGACAAGCGGCGCGCCACCTCCCTGCCACCTCACCGGCCATATGATATGGAGATCAAGCTGCTACCCGGAACCAGTCCTCCCCGCGGGCGCCTTTTCTCTCTCGCGCCTCCCGAGACCAAAGCGATGGAAGAATATATCGCCCAGGCCCTCCAGCAGGGGTTCATTCGACCCTCCTCCTCTCCGGGTGCCGCTGGCTTCTTCTTCGTGAGGAAAAAGGAAGGCGATCTTCGCCCCTGCATAGACTATCGGGGTCTGAACAAGATCACGGTCAAGGACCGCCATCCTCTTCCGCTCCTCACTACCGCTCTGGATGCCATCTCCCAGGCACGGATCTTTACGAAACTGGATCTCCGGAGCGCCTACAATCTGGTCCGTATAAAGGCCGGGGATGAGTGGAAGACCGCTTTCATAACACCCACCGGCCACTGGGAGTACCTGGTTATGCCCTTCGGACTATGCAATAGCCCTGCTGTCTTCCAACGTCTCATTAATGATGTCCTCCGCGACATGCTGGGACGGTGGGTGTTCGCCTATCTGGACGATATACTGATCTACTCCAAATCCGAGGCCGAACACATCCATCATGTTCGCGCCGTCCTGACCCGGCTCCTGGACCACAACCTGTACTGTAAACCCGAGAAATGCTCCTTCCATCAGCAGTCCATATCCTTCCTGGGTTACAGGATCTCGGACGAAGGGATAACCATGGACCCTCAGAAAATCCAGGCGGTGAAGGACTGGCCCTTGCCAACCAGCCTGAAACAACTGCAGAGTTTTCTGGGTTTCTGCAACTTTTACCGCCGTTTTATAAAGAACTATAGCACCCTCGTAGCCCCTCTCACCTCTCTCACTCGACCAGGCTCCCCTGGCCAGCCGTTTCATCTAACTCCCGACGCCATTCGGGCCTTCCACCACCTGGTCACCCGCTTTACCTCGGCCCCGATCCTCCGCCATCCAGATCCTGCAGTCCCCTTTGTGGTCGAGGTCGACGCCTCTGACGTCGGCGCCGGCGCCATCCTATCTCAAGGCGGGCCCGACGACAGGCTCCATCCCTGCGCCTACTTCTCCAGGAAGTTTTCCACCACCCAGCAGAAGTACGGTGTGGGCGACCGTGAGTTACTGGCCATAAAATGGGCATTGGAGGAATGGAGGCAGTGGCTTCTGGGCACCACTCAGCCTTTCACGATCTGGACTGACCATCAGAACCTGACCCACATAAAATCTGCCAAGCAGCTTAATCCTCGCCAGGCTCGCTGGGCCCTCTTCTTTGAACCCTACGACTTCCATCTCGCCTACCGCCCGGGAGCCAAGAACCAGAAGGCGGACGCCCTCTCCCGCCAATTCACCCACTCCTCGCCCTCGTCCGAGCCAGCGCCAATCCTCCCGGAACACCGTTTCCTGGGCCAACTGAGGTGGCCGTTGGAGGAAGCTATCCAGAACGCCCTCCGGGACGACCCCGCGCCTCCTGAGACCCCCGCGGGTCGCCTCTATGTCCCCACGGCCTGTCGCAGCGAGGCGTTGTCCTGGGCCCACTCATCACGCCTGTCTGGCCACGCTGGTTTCTCCAGAACTCTTAAATTCCTCCAGCGAGCCCTCTGGTGGCCAGGCATGGCGAGGGATGTGAAAGAATACACCAGCGCCTGTGACGTCTGTGCCCGCTCCAAGAACCCCAACCAGGCCTCGGCTGGTGCCCTCCGACCTCTTCCGGTGCCCAGCCGCCCCTGGTCCCACGTGGGGCTGGACTTCGTCACAGGTCTCCCGTCGGTCAATAACCTCAACACTGTCATGACGGTTACGGACCGCTTTTCCAAGTCTGTCCATTTCATCGCCCTTCCGGGTCTCCCCTCAGCCCAACGCACAGCGGAACTGTTCCTGGAGAACGTGGTGCGCCTCCACGGGTTCCCAGTCGACGTGGTCTCGGATCGGGGGCCCCAGTTCACGGCCCGGTTCTGGAAAGCTTTCTGTCGGCTGATGGGAGCATCGGTCAGTCTATCCTCAGGCTACCACCCGCAGACCAATGGCCAGACGGAGCGGGCTAACCAACAGCTGGGTCGGTACCTTCGTTGTTTTGTCTCGGCTCAACCCTCACAGTGGCCTAAATACCTCCTCTGGGCGGAGCTGTCCCACAATCTTCACACCTCATCTGCCACTCGGCTGTCCCCTTTCGAGGTCTGCTATGGCTTCCAGCCCCCGGTCTTTGCCCACCAAGAACCCGAGGTCGCCGTTCCAGCAGCGGAAGCCATGGTGAGACGCTGCAAGAGCGCCTGGATCAAAGCACGAGCCTCCATAACCAGAGCTAACACCAGCTATGCTCGCCAGCATCTCCGTCGACACCGTCCTGGTCCCTCCTATGCTCCTGGGGACAAGGTCTGGGTGTCCACGGCTGACCTTCGGGTCCGTGCCGGGGCCAAGAAACTCGCTCCTCGGTTCCTCGGCCCATACCCCATCCAAAGGGTCATCAACCCGGTCACGTACCGGTTGCGACTGCCAGCTACTCTCCGCATCCATCCCACCTTCCATACCTCCCGGCTCAAGCCCTTCGTGGAGTCCTCCCTTCTCCCGCCTCCGGCGCCGCCTCCTGCCCGCTTCCTCGACGGTGAGCCTATCTACACCGTCCGGCGCATCCTGGACGCTCGCCGCAGGGGTCAGGGCTGGCAGTACCTAGTGGACTGGAAGGACTATGGCCCCGAGGAACGCTCCTGGGAGCTGGCTCGGTCCATCCTGGACCCTTCCCTGATCTCCGACTTCTGGGTCCGCCGGGGTCGCGCTGGGACTTCTGGAGCCGTCCCTGGACCGGGGGGTCCTGTCAGGACTCAGGTATCTCCCGGCTGACGTTCGGACCACAACTCCCGACATGCTCCTCATGGGGAGCTCCCAGCGTGCTCCTCGCGGGGATTCCCTCCACGTCACAGCCAAGCAAGGCTATATATGGAAGACGCCGGTACCGGCTTCTCATCTCAGTCATCGTTTCTTCCTCACAGAGATACGACCGGAGAAATAATAAAACTGTTAAACGTCTCACCTTGTTCGTCTCCTTCATCCAGTCTGATCAGCCCGACAGCGTTAAACCTCATTTAGAAGCAAATTTATTAGGTTCATCCTTTTAGTTAGGAACTTTTTAAATGCCTGATTCAAACTGAAAACAAGCTGCAAAACTTCCCCCAAATACCCCCAGAAATGATCATCAGTCTTATTTTGGATATATTCACAAAAAACAAGACGACTTATGACAGAGCAAAGAGAACGTCATTAGACACAACCTGGAGTTTTCCCTCTTTTAGGAATCATGTAGGATTTTTTTTATCTGTTAAAGTCTTCCCATATTCTGTGATGTAGGCAATGTGTAAAGTTATTTTTCTAAAACCCCCATCCCGTAGAGCCCCATGCAATGTGAACTGAGCACCATTCAGCATTAACCAATTAGACATCTTCTTACGTACGGATGCCAATCACAGAGCATGCGCGAGTGTTTGTGGACGCACCTAGACTGATGCCGAGTTGGCGTCCTTTCATGTGGACAAGTAAATCTTTAAAATATAAATAAACGGCATAGATTGAGAATAATAATTGTAAAACTACCTGTTTTAGCTCTGTTTGCTGACTAGAAGGGTGCGTTCATGAATAACCGGCGTTGCTTCCAGCTGTAATCACGGAGAGGGGGAGAGGCTTAAAGGTGCGATGTATTATTCTGCCTCTAGATGGAGCCCTATGACAAAAGGCTCCGGATGTCTGCTTTAAGGCTCAGTGTGGTTCCAAAACAAAAGCGCTATTTTCTCTGTTCATGTTGGTGAAACCTGTTTAATATGATAGTTGTGATTTCTCATCATTAACAGTTACTGATTTATTTTATTGTTCTCAGAATCAAAATGAGCCTTCGAGGTCAGGACCCACCGAAGAAGAAGTACGACCCGCTTGATGCCACTTTGACGTTCGTCGACGGGGACGACGACCTGGATCCAGTGTGTAAGACTAATCAGAACCCGGTTTTGTCCACAGAGTATCCAAGTGCTTCTTTTAGTTTCTAAGCATTAGCTATCATTTCTGTTATTACGTGAGCTACTGTTCACATCACATCTGATCCTTGAGTTTGGTCTCCTCAGCCTCAGACTCGGTCTCTCTCCGAGCCCGGTTGTCCTGCGGTCACGCTGTGACGCCCGAGTCTCTGACACAGTGGTGTCGCTGCCAGCTGGAAGATGTAAGCGCTCCGAGATGGTCATTTTGAGTAACTCAGAAGATAACTAGAATAAATTTATGAACTCTAAATGGTTAATTTTTGTTTTAAGGGTAAACATGAATTCAGGTGTCCTGCAGTGGTGGACGTCCTTACAAACAAACTTTGCAACCAGCTGTGGTCGTACCAGGAGGTGCGCAGACTGGCTGCTTTGGATGTAGAGGAAATGCAGTATTTTGAGGAGAAGATGGCCCGTCTGGCTGTTGACAGTTACTGTGACGTCCAGTCGGTGAGTGGTCCAGAACCTGGCGGCTGTTTTCCAAAACTATAAACCAAAAATCCTGTAGATTCAAGTGTTCCTGTTTTCTATTTTAGTGCCCAAAGTGTAAAACCTGCGTGGAGAGGAAGGATCTGTCCAGCCTGTGTGTGCAGTGCGTCGTGTGCACAGCGGACCAGAAGAAGGCGTACCAGTTCTGCTGGCAGTGTCAGAAGAAGTGGAAAGACCCGGGCCGTCAGTCGGGTCGCTGTGGGAACAACGGCTGCATCAACAAGGACCTGCAGCTCCTGCAGACATGCAAAGACATCAGTCTGCCTGAGGTAGAGGGCGTGACCAGCTGCCCCTCGGTCCGTGCCTGCCCCGTGTGCGGCATGAAGGTGGAGCACAACCGGCAGTTCTGTAAAAACATCACCTGTCCTCGCTGCGACACAGAGTTCTGCTTCGTCTGCCTGAAACTGAAGAGCGAGTGCAATAAGACTAGTTCGCCGTATGAAATCTGTCCAAGTGGCGTTGCTCCAAAACAAACTTCTATTCCTGTTTGGAAAAGAAAACAATAAAGTCTATTCAGCAGTAGGGATGCAACGATACCACTTTTTTCCAAACCGATATGATACCGATACCTGAATCTGAGTACTCACCGATACCGATTACCAATATTGATACTTCTACCACACAAAAAAATGCAATGATTTGGAATACAGATTTTATTTTCTTCTCTGTTTTCAACAGGTAAAGACTATGAGGTAAATAAAAAGTAAAATATATGAATGGAAATCATCACAAAACTAAAATATTAGGTGAACAGAAATGACAAGTTACAGTGAAGCCATTTTCAAGCAACTGCATTGGTATCGGTTCCTGGTATCGGTTAACTTTTACCGATACCAATACTGGTATTGGTGCCGATACCAGTATCGTATTGGTGCATCCCTACTCAGCAGCTTTTGTTTTAAAAATGCTGCAAAGAAACCGGAAAACAGAGAAATTTCTCTGAATGCTTTTAAATAAAAAAAATCCATTTAAACTGCTGTAAATCTTTTAGAACTTCAGCTTATTTTTTATCTTTGTGCCTGTTTGTGACTGTAATGTGTTTGTAACTGTTCTGATACCTTCTGCAGCCTGTCTTGTGCTTGAAACTGTGTTTTTTATTCCCAGTAGGATCTGGTTAAATAAGAAAAGATCACATTATAAAAACGTCTGTCTTTCTTGGTATGAACAAATAAAAATGAAATTCTAGTTTAATGTACAGATATTACAGCGTTATCAGATTTTAGTTATTAGAATAATTTGTTTAATTATTTTTCTTGATTGGAATTTTTATTGTATGACAAAAATTCAAAGCCTTCCTGAAAAATTCAGATTTTTAAGCGTAGAATTTATATCCGATGACACAAACATACATACCAGATGCCCGCTATGGTTCATTATGACAACAGTTTGAAAATGATGTAAAAAATAAATTAAATCTGTTGAATAAATGTAATCTGTCTGAATTTATAAGTTAATAAAAGTTTCCCACTTATTGCACCTTTAAAAAGCACCTCAAACTACATCTTAAAGGCTCCCAGACATGTTTGCATCTTTAGTTATTCTTATTTTTTGTTTGCCTATTTTAATGGAATGTTTCTATCTGACTGTTTTTAAATTGTATAGTGTTACTTGTTTTACTTAGTTATCTTGTCGACGGACTACAGATGCAAATGAGCAACTATGCTATATAATCTGGCCCATTTACGATCGATACAATGTATTTGATTGTTTATTAATGTGCGTTGTCCTGAATAAAGAATTGAATTGACTGTACATACTTGAATTCGTCTAAAAAACTAAATGTTTGATTCTGATACAACAAAAGATTTTCATGTTTAAACTTTCTAAAACATTTTCCAAAGATAAAATTTTAAAAATTTTGTTTTTATTAATGCTGCTAAACAATTAGTGCATAAAAATGCTTTTTCCTCACTTTAAACCTGACGCTAATTAAAAAAAAAATCAAATGTTTTGTAGCTGCATTGCATCACAGTCTTTATTTTGGCTCTACTTGGTTATAAATGATGCTTTAAAAGAATAACTTTTAGAAATGTGTCCTATATTGTTTCAGACGAGCATTAATCATCATCCTATCAGTGAATCTTTTACAAACATTATTAAGCTCCTCTTCACTGAGAAGCGACTTTTAAATAGTTATTTTATCAGCAGCAAAGAAAAATGGACTAACGATGAAGAGGAGGATTTTCACAAACCTGGCAACCCAAAACAATCAGTCTGTTCAAATGTTTATTGTTAGTTTGTTGTTTTAAAGGCAGCTTTTCTACAGCTGATGATCCTCCGGAGCCACCGCCTGGATCCTGATGACACAGCGTCGCCACTTCCTGTATGAGACCATCAGCGTGGTTAAGAAACACCCGGCAGCAGTGAAGCTGAGGGACGTGGCCACAGCGGCCTTCAGAGGCGATCCCAGCAGAGTCCAGGTCCTGCTCTGGGCTGACGGATCACTAAAGACAAAGGAACAAAATTAGTATTGGAGACATTTTGCTACAGAGTTTAAAGTTATACTCACCATGTGACACAAGCAGGATGTGGGCTGCTCTCATCTAAAGGAGAAGTGACATCAGGGTGGAGACATAACCTCCTGTCTGGACAGGAAACAGAGCCCTGGTAGCCTTTTATCTGAGCATTTAGGAGCATAAACACACAAATACATGTTTTTAACTGTAGGAGAGCTGCAGTGTAAAAGTCCTTTAGGAGTTGGGTTTTACCTGGACAGCACGTCCAGCTGGACAGTCCACCCATCCAGAACCAGATACCTGGATCTGGTACCTGTTGGGTCCAGTACACCTGTGTCTGTAACAACGACCCTCCACGGAGCTGCCGGTCTGATTAAAGTCTGCCTGATTTAAAAAGAGTTGGAAGGGAAAAACTCCTTTAGACTGTTCCTTCTCTGCAGTTGCTATTTTCTTCATTCAAATATAAAAGTTTAAGGACTATTTTGTATGAATTAGAAGATTTGTCAAACATTTTCATGTGTTTGCTTCCATCTTGATCAAGACTTTCTGAAACAACAGCTGTTTTATCTCACTAGAACCTTGCTAGTTAAACTTTTAAAAGGGACAAAATTAAGTTGAAATAGATCTGTGGTTGATACAAAAACATATTTATGCATTTCTTTGCTCTAAATCCCTCTTACATAAATGTTCAGCCGTTATATTCTTGGCATGTTCACCTTCCAGAATGAGTCGACTCTGTCACATTGAGAAAATAAGTTGTTTTTGGCCACGCCCACTCCTCCCCTGCACGAGCTGCTATAAGCTGAGAAGCTCCAACATCCAGGAGGGACTTCGAGTAATCTGTTTTGCTTGTGAGAAATTGTTCTATGCTAATTTCCCAGTTTGTGACATCACAAATGGGAACTTTTTGAAACTGCTTGTTTTAGGCAATTCCTAAAACCAGAGACCGACATGGCAGCACAAAATAATGCATCATATGTCCCAATACAAGACATGCTCTCACAGACATCTCTGTCCTCATCATAAACGTAACTCCTATAATGATACACACACACACACACACCTGTCTGAGAAGGCTGGAGAAGAAACAACGGCTGTCAGAGACAAAAATCTCTCCACTCCTGTTCTCTACATCAGACCATTTGATGTTTTCCTGTTTCCAACATTCACTCTAAAATGAAAGAAAACATTTTCTATATGTGATGGAATATTTAAATATTTCTACTTTAGAGGTACATTTGCAATTTGTAACCCAAAGATCACCAAAGACCTTACTCCATTCCTGAGCGGTTTGTAGATCCGACATCCCTCCAGGTACGGATCAGTCTGACACTCCCCCTTGTGGAGTTGGAGATAATGACACCCAACCCCACTAAAAACAAAAGGATGAAAACATGAAGGCTGAAAATGTAGAATTTAAAAAAAGGATAATTTTACCTTCCAGTGCAGAAGAAGGAAGAGGAGTTGTCTTTGCAGGTTGACAGAGAACCAAATGTCGCTCCTCCACCTGTTAGAAAATATAATCATGAGGACTTTAATTCAGCTTTTGATGGGATTGTTTATTTGCTCCGTACCATCTCCCCAAACCAGACTCTGAGCCCGGCTCTGATCCACTTGGTACCACCCCATGTCCTGCAAAGCAGCTAGGGTGATCGAGTCGATCCGGACTGTGGTTGGATCACCCAGCACTGCCGCCATGATGGACCCCTGGAGGACCCGTGCCTCCCAGTGAGAGGACACTCTGGTTGCAGATGCATCCTACAGGAAGATGATAAAGTCAGGTCTGTAGAGAAGAAGAAGAGTTAGAACATAAAACTGATCAGTACCAGGTTCTCCAGAGGTCCTCCAAGTTCAGGATCAGCAGATCCTAGATGTTCCTGCAGAGCTGAGATGATGGACGGGGTGTAAATCCTCATCTGGCCTTGTCCATCAGGGTGAACCACTTTATTTCGAGGGGAGCACAGAGAGCCTCCTTCATGAAAGATCAAAGAAAAATGGAGGCAGACAGAAATTATACTTGTTTACTTTTCTCCAATAAACTCACTGTGGAATCCCATTTCCGCCGCTCTGATAAAAAAAAAAGCCTCGTATTTAATAAATGTGACTTATTATGACTAAAGTATCTCATTATTATGGGAAAGTATCTGGGGTTTGTTTGTATCATGCACAGGCTTCCTGGGTGGTGGTGGGAGTCTTCCAACCAATCACCTCTTGCCTTGGTCCCAGAATGCCTTTGGCATCAAAGCCCCTCCCTTTCTGGAAAGTAATCGGAAGGATATCGCCACGAATCTCTGGTGAGTGGTCCTAGTCTGACCCCCATAGAAATGGACGTGATAGGTTGGTGGGCGTGGCCTATTTTCTGAAATAGTGCCTCCTAGGACCATTAAAACTGTCAGCGCCAAGCCACACTTTGACTAAGAACTACGAAATTTGGTACACTAATGTAGTGCCTTGGGACCTACTAAAAAGTCTCTTGGAGCCAAGGTCAATGTCGCACAGGAAGTCGGCCATTTTGGTCCAAGTACACGATTTAGTGATTTTCGCACACGTTGTTTGAAGAGTGATGCCCCGTCGCCCTTTTCACCAATCGCCTTCAAACTTCTGCTATGTACTCTGAAGACATAGGGGAAAATATTCAACTGTCAGATTTTTCAAAAGTTGAAAGGTGTGGGCGTGGCTAAGCCTCAAACTTTGACCTTTCGCCATTACATTACTTGATTTAATAACTCCCATGCGCATGATCAGATCTAAATCAAACTTTGTCTGTGTGATCACTGACCACATGTCAAGAAAATGACACTGTGGGCAGCTTACATCACATAAGCCCCGCCCCCTGACAACAGGAAGTCTATTGTTTTATGGTGAAATGCCCATATTTGTCCCCTCTAATTTAGTCAACATGACACTAAGGTCATGCACTGTCTTCATGATGCTGTAATGACCATTCAGATCTGATAGCTTTCCAGAAAGGGAGGGGCAGGCTCGGTCTCGGCTCCGGACAGAGAATTCTGCTGTTGTGTCCTTGGGCAAGACACCTACCCCACCTTGCCTGCTGGTGGTGGCCGGAGGAACCGCTGGCGCCTGTGCTCGGCAGCCTCGCCTGTCAGCGCGTCCCAGGGTAGCTGTGGCTACATCGTAGCTCATCGCCATCAATGTGTGAATGTGTGTGTGAATGGGTGAATGATACACTGTAGTGTAAAGAGCTTTGGAGTCCTTACAAGGAGAGGCGCTATACAAGTGCGGGTCATTTATCATTTATCATAAAGGACCCTGAGTGTGGGACGGAGTTCTGAAGGTGATCTGAATTGTATCAAATACAGAAATATGACTTGCTTATACTCTCGTACATATCAGATACTATCTCAGATTTACGAGACCCCTGATGAGTCATATTTATGACTTAGCCATCTCATAATTAGATTATCAGAGTGGCAGGAATAGGCTTCCATACACACAACCCTAAAGGTGCGCGAAACTGGAGAAATGATTTGATACAAGTGCAGGATAAACCTTGGGATGAACAGTCTCGCCAGGTGTTGAAGAGATCTTTGGAGAAACCAAGTGCATGCAACAATTCATGAATCACAGTCTGAAAAACACAAGAATAAGATCCATCCATGTTGACAGAAATCCATTCCTGTTTTTGTTTGGCTTCTAACACCAAACCTGCACTGTGGTCTGGTGGTTGTACGTGTCTCCAGTCAGTCTGTCCCTGCAGATGGTGACCAGACCAGCTACAGGTCGTCCCAGAGAGTCCGTCTGACAGTGGACTGCATACGCCAACACGTTAGGCTGAGTTAGGCATGGAAAAGAGCGATAAAAGGGGTGAATAACAGCTTTAAATAATGTTTATTATTAATGAAAATTTTCTAAATCTGGAGAAATTATAGAAAATTTAATGAAATGATAGTTTTTTAATGCGATTTAACATAAAGAACTCATGTTAAATAGAAGCACGTGTGTAAATTAGTTCCATTCAACTTTGTGAGCGATTACCTCGGCTCTACACTTATCAGTGAGTTGGGAGTTGATGTAAAGCAGGAAGTCGGTGTCGGGGAGTCCAGTGCCCTCAGATCTGAGAACAGTTCTGAGAGGAGAATCAGCTTCTGGGTAAACATCACATCCAGACAAGTGGTCGTCTGGGATCTGTGCATGAAAGAGGAAAATAAACATGATCTGTAGAAAGACCAACAAATAATAAAATAAAACTTACTGCTACATCCAGACAAGTCTCAGCTCTGTAGTTTATGTTGGCTCTTCCACATCTGGGAAGATGAAAAGGCATTAGACTTGCTTCATGTGTAATTTTTTATGCAACGTTTGGGATTTTTATGCCACAGCATTAACTGAATCCAGTTCAAAAAAGTTTTCTGTCCTGATTTTGAGTTTGGAAATTCTTGCTTTGAAGGTTTTCCAATAAAAATATTAAGACCTTTGGTGTTTGATTCTATTTCCCTTGGATATTAGTGAAGGATGTGAACTCTTGGGCACAAAAACAGGCACTGTTAGGAACTTAAAGAGTTTCAAAGTAACTTTTTATCTCTTTGATGAAAATGTATGTAAAGAGAATGTCAAATCGTTGTTTATACGTCGGACAGAATGAAAAGAATTCAAGATTTCAGAAGGTTTAAAATGACCAAATCTGGGTTTAGAATCTGAGTTGCTCTCACACACACACACACACACACACACACACACACACACACACACACACACACACACACACACACACACACACACACACACACACACCTGTTGTAGTTGATACTTGAGTTCTTCCAGAGGAACTTGCAGTATTTGTTGACATCTCTGCTGAGCAGCAGTGGTCCTACAGTCCTGTTCACTGTAAACATTTCCTGTTACAGTAGTTTATTTATATAGTAGGAGTGTGTGTGTGTGTGTGTGTGTGTGTGTGTGTGCGCGCATTTACCTGAAAGTAAAGAAGACACCGTCTTCACCGCCTCTTCCACTGCAGCCTGCAGTCTCGCTCTCTCATCCTCCGACAGGCTGTCGCTCTCTCTGGGAGTCCAGGTCTTTATCCTGATTGGCTGTGGACGGCTGGGACGACGTCGGACTAATTCTCCCAGAACGCTCCTCTTCTTCAGAGTCGCCACGCCAACCTGAGCTTGAACTTCATCAAATACACATTTCTGCAAAACCCCTGGAGGTCCAACCACCAACGCTGAGACCAGCAGCAGCAACCAGAGGTTCTGGGGTGGAGGGAAGACCTGATGTCTGTCATGTTTAGAACCAAACATCTGCTCAGAACTAATCTCTGTTTCTATAAATTGAGGTTGTTCAAAGATCTGTCTGGAAAAAATAATGGTTCAAACATATTTAGTAATTCCTTAAACTAAAAAGTTTTTGGGGTTTATTTTAGGGCAGATATAATCTAATTATAACCAAACTGCTTATGCGGAAGAGGGTTAGGGCCACTGAAAAGAAAAATAATTATTTTTTTCTCAAAAGTCAGAATTCAGATTTAGTAAAATATATATATTTTAAAAAGGTCAGAACTGATCTGAATTCTGAGACAAAATCTAAATAATTTTCTCTTTAGTGGCCCTACTCGTCTTCCACAGGCTGCAGCTGAAGAAATCAGCTCCAAATCTGTTTCCTGTTAATTATAGAAGCTAAGTTTTGGGCACATTTTATTAAATGTCTTTAACGGACATTGAGATTTGACCATGAAGCTAAATAATAATAATAATAATAATGATAATAATAATAATGCCAGAATAAGATATAAACCTGCAGCATCAGCTCCTCCATGTGGTCTCACTGCTTCTCTCCAGATGACTGAACCATTCAGCCTGTGTGAATTTCCTCAGGACGTTAGAATACAAAGCACAATGTGATGCCTTATCAGGTGGTGCAAATAAGCCCCTCCCCTTTAACGCCAACAACAACAACAAAAAAACCACACACACACAAGAGCATAAAAGTGCAAATCGTTTCATCTCTGCCACAAATGCTTTTACTTATTTACAATGAAGTTGACCTCATTAAATCATAAAATCACGTTCTCATTTATTTACTTACACAGTATTTTCATTTTAAAACCTCTGGCAACTCCACATTGACCCTAGTACATTCAATAAAGCCACAAATAAACTAAAGATGCTGAAATAAAACCCTGTAAAAATGGCTGATGATAACATTAATGGCACAACAGAAGTCTCTAGAAAGCTGAGAGGTTGAGGTTCTTTTTGTGAATTTAGGGCTGTCTTCTTCCCGTTTTACACACCCACACACACACACACAGAACCAGGCACCAGAGAGATTGTCTTCTGAAACATTTACATTCACTTGTAATGTGCACTCAAACTATAGGATCTCCAAAGGTTACTGCAGCTCGCAGAGAACACGTCTAATTTTACAGTAAAGCCACTGGTGTTGATGGAGAAAATACAAGCCTGTGTGTGTGTGTGTGTGTGTGTGTGTGTGTGTGTGTGTGCGTGTGTGTGAGTGTGTGTGCGTGTCCTCTCAGAAAGGCACTTAAACGGGGGAAATATTCCACATATTTGCTCTAAAATCCATTTAGATGCGAGTGGTACGAGTGCGCAGAGACAATCCACATTTAAAGTCTCGCTATTGTTGACCTAAGACTAAAATAAAACACATTCACTCTGTTGCAGCTATACAAACGCAGTCATTTCCACCTTAAGAACTCTAACCGTTCGGCGTGATCGCCTGCGTCAGTGTTTCGGATCTGGAAAAGATCCTTCTGTGCAAAAGTTTGGCTTCTAATCGCAGCCCAGCGTCGGTTAAGTGCACGTCTGACTAAATATAAACATACGTCTGAATTTTTGGGGGGAGTTTTTTTTTTTTTTTTAAACGTGTGGTTTTAAACGTCACTGAATCCAAAAGGCACCAGACCGGCACAGAGAGGAAGAGTCTCGCTGTCCTGTGCTCATGTTCAACCACCTACAGGAGGGGCGAGGGGTCAGTTTTTGAGGGTGATGAAGAAAAAAGCAGGAAAAAGAATAAGAGCTGTGAGGCGGGGTGATCAGGTGAGCATGGGCACGTCGTCCTCTGAAGTCGTGTCTTCAGACAGTGGGATGAGCAGCACCTCGTCGTCTGAGGCGGAGGAGGAAGAGGAAGGAGAGGGCGAAGCTCTGAAGAGGGAGATACCGATGCCTAGTGTTTGCAAAATGGAGGCATGGTAGGGGCTGCTGGGGGGGGCGGAGACGGGAGGAGTGTCCGGGGGAGGGGCTGGGGGGGCGTAGGGAGGAGGAGGTGTGGAGCTATCAGGTGGTGGGAGCAGCGGCAGTAGAGGAGGAGACACTTCCTGCTCCTGCTGCTGCTCTGTTTGAGCCAGCAGGCCCAGTTTCTGAGACACCGGCTGGTTGGCGGCCTCCACCGCCTCCGCTGAGGAGGAGGACCTGGCGGGGGAGGAGGTGCTCAGCCCCTGAGCAGACGGAGAAGAGCTAGGCTGCTGCCCGGAGCTGGAGGTCTGACCCGACCTGGAGGTTCTGGGGATGAGGCCCCACCTCCTCATGCGTCGGATGGCACGGCGGACGAATCGGGGCCTGCGTCTCCGGTGGGGGGAGTTTTGGGCGTCCTGACGGAGGAGCTGGAGGATTCCTCTCAGAGAAAGAGACGAGGTCTGGAAAAATAATTGAAATTATTGTAATAAAACCACCTGAGTATTTAATTAAGAGTTTTATTCTCTGAAAGTTGAGAATAAATATCCTTCATTTCATTTTCAGGCACCAAAAACACACCAAGGTACGTGTTTATGGATCTAATCAGATTAGGATCCCCGTTTCCCCGCAGAGGCTGCTTCTCTAATCTAGCAGCGCCTCGGCGCCGCTTCCCTAACTGCCAGTAAAGCTCCGGCCTCTCACCTCGTTGGCGCTTTCTGTGGGAAAATCCTCCACGGGGGGAATGATGCCCTGAGCGATCAGCTGACCGTAGGACGGAGGAGCCTGCTGCTGGATCAGCGCTGCTTCTTGGCGGCTTATCGGAGCAAACATGCTGTGTAAAAAAAACAACACATTTTACATTTATTAGTTTAACTACTTTTACCGGTTCTCCCTCAGAAAAGTGAGCCAACAGCTACTTTTGAAGCTCCCCCTGGTGGCAACTACCTGTATTCTCTAGACCTGAGCGAGTACAGTTTGCACGTACAGCCCATGGCGATGACCAGCAGCAGCCCGCAGACGAGGCTGCCCACCGTTGCCGCGGTGATGACCTTACGGGGCAGCATGACGGTGCAGTTGAGCTCGTCCGTGCCGTCTTTGCAGTCCACCTGGTTGTCGCAGCGCCAGGTCTCGTACACGCACCTGCAGCAGGGCCAACGGGGTCGGTTGTATTAAAGAATGTGTCGTTGTGACCTTTAACTGTGACCTCACTCTTCCTGTTTAACTTTAAAAAGAGGGCTTATTTCATTTTCGCAGGGTGATCAGTAAGTACTCTTTCTGAAGACAGAAGGCAAAAATAATGTAGGAAGTATTCAAATCTGTCTAAAAACACCAATAATTTTGCTTTTTTGTAAACTTTTTTACCAAAACACAAGCGTACGTTTACAAATTACACAAAGCTCCATGGAAGAATTGCAGCACATTTCCTTTAATCCTCGCTCACTGACCTGACTACATACGCCAATATATTTATCAAAGAGTCTGTTTATAAACAAAACAACAGCTGAACAACAAGTAATCTGACTTCATTTGTAGTTTTAAGCTCAAAATGAAGCTTTGAAATCAGATTTTTGGTCAGCAGGGCTAAATGATGGGATGGACAGCTAGCGCTGCTATAAAGGCAGCGAATAGCTGTTACAGGAGCCATGAAGGAGGACAGTTGATCAGCAAGCACACTGACCTGTCATTGTCGCAATGGAAGGTCCCCGGCTGACAAACGCTGCAGTCCTTCTCATCGCTGCCGTCGTTGCACTCCAGCCTGTAGTTGCATCTCTCTGTTAACTGGTAACACATAAGCTTGCCGAGAAAGCGGTTGGACGCCATTGTTCTCTGTCCCGACAAACCGCACGCAAACTGGTCCGGGCCGCAGCCCCTGCAACCCTGCTCGTCCTTTCCGGTCTCGGGGCAGTCCCACTTCCCGTCGCAGTGCTGCTGCTGGGTGAAGCACCCACCTGATGTTCCCCCACAGTGACCCTCCCACGGGGGGCAGTAGCTCCCCACGTGGAAGGTGGCCTTAAAGCCAGTGTCATAGGAGAAAGGACGGATCTCGTAGACCAGAGACATCAGGCCTGTGTGGGACTCAACTCTGATGGCTTTGGAGTTAGACATGCTGGTGATCTAAAACACAAAAAAGAGGGACGATGACTTCGAATATCGAGGTTTTGTTTACAAACTTTTGGAAGTATTTCTCTGAAACTCACATTTCTGATGACGTCTCCTTTGCCTTCCTCTCGATTGTAAACGGTGAGTCGGTCATCGGGCCCAAGGACCAGCTGCTGGAGGTCCAGTCTCAGCGGTCTGGAGTCCCCGGGGTCCAGAGTCCAGACACAAAGCATCCCCTGACCCCGAGAGACTGGAGGAGAGAAGATCCCGTAGAAGGTGTGATGAGATCCCCCACAAGGCCACTCAATGGGAGTGGGTGTCACAGTAGGGTGCTTCTGGGTCAGTGGCTGTTCTGGATTGACCACACCCCCCTCCCTCCGTGGTGGCCAAAAATCCTGGAAGATGAAGCCATCAGTGGACCTGTCTGAGCCCCAGCCTTTGTCGATGCCCTTGTCTCTTTCTGCGGTTGGGTTGCCGGTTCTCTCCGTAGTCTCAGCCCCCCGGTTTTCCAGATCTTCATAACAGCCCTTCTCATCGCTGCCGTAGCCTTCGGTCAGACACTCCACCTGGCCGTTACAGCGCCAAGAGGGGGGGATGCACCCGCCCCCATGGCACCTGAAGTACCTCTCTGGGCAGTCACCTGAGTCTGGATGAGCGAAGACAGCAGAGGGTTTAGAAAAAGAGCCAGTGGGTGTTTGGGACATTAGGAACCATCCTACCTCTGGCATAGCTCAGCAGAAACGTTGATACAGGAAACGTGTGAGGGGAGAAATAATGCATCAGAGTGATGTTTCCTCCTGGAAACCTCAGCGGCTGCGGCAGCGTGGGGCCACAAAGAACGCGGGCAGAACCGCCGGCTGATGAATCTATGGAAAGTGATTCATTCCCACATCTCACAGAGAACTGAGAGAAGCTGTTGATGGGTTTATAGAAAGAAAAAAACCGTAGATTATCCAACTCTTTTACCCTTTTCCTCCTCTGCAAACCAGATCTCCCCCATGCCTGTACCTGAGAATGATGGGTTCATCCTCCGGACCCTGGATGACCCAGCAGTCAGAAGCAGAACCGAACCTGTAGGACCAGCTGTAATAAGCAGAACTCCTGATTTCTCCCACTTTACGGTCCAGAACCTGAGGGGTCAGCCCACAGCGGCCTGAGACACAAATCATGATTAAAATGTTGTCATAAATACATCTGAGGAAAGCATCTCAATGAGAAAATAAGGTTTTGTTGACATTTTAACTAAAAATCATTGTAATAACACAACATTTCATTCTCTTTTTCATATAAAGTCCTGCTGAAGACGTGATTGTTCTCCTCACCGAAGCAGGAAGCAGGACCAATCTGAACGCAAGCTGCAGAGGAAGTAAGCAAAAACAGAACCAGTAAAACAGCTGATAGGGACTATGCAAAACTAAAAAAATGTATTTACAGGAACTGAAGCTTACCTGGTACGGAGAAAAACAGGAGCACTGAAAAATGGTGAGTTAGGGTCATTGTGGAAATGCTTCTTCTTCTCTTAAATGTTTAAAACTGGTTAAAAATGAAGACTTGGAAGATTTTTAACATAACTTCATGATGGATGTCAGAAAAGTGCCATTTCAGGAGTTTTTGCTCCAGAAGACTTTACCTGCAACAAGAGGAGAAAGATGACACTTCAGACGATGGGACAACAACTCATAAATGCTGTTAAAAGTGATAACACTCTTTAAAGAGCAAGTCGCCCCCTACCAGAGTATAACTCTGCTCCCACTTCCTGTTTGAAAAATGCAACAAATGCTGTTGCCTAGCAGACCGAGAGGGCGGAGCCGCTAACAAATACACGCACACAAAGGCTCACAACAACATTGTGACATCATATGGTATCAGCTAACATTCTAGGGTACCTCTTAGCCAATAGCGATGGCAGATTTAAATTCAACTGCAGTGCAGAGTTTTTACCTGACAACGGCACAACACTGACAGTTTTAGGCAGAAAATTTTAATTTTAACTAAAATGCACTAAAGTGAAAAACTATTGACTACATGTGTCTGCAGCATGATTAGACACGCATTTATGTAGTTTATCAGGGAAAAAAAAGTTGATTTGGGGGTGACTTGCTCTTTAATGTCCAACATCAACTGACAAAAGCACACTATATAAAATATATATTCATATGAACGCTTTAATCAAATGTTGTAAATGTGTGAAAAAGAAGAAATGTGACAAAAACAGGCAGTAGGTGGAATCGGCATGATCAGCTGATTAGAAACACAACAAATAAACGTTTTTGTTTTTCTTCTCTAGTCTGTGAAGATGCTTTTGCAGGAGTGTCCAATCTATTTAGCAAGAGGCCCATAATCCTCAAGTTAAGTCAAAGCAGATGAGAATATTTTATTTTTTGTATAAAAAGTAGAAAATTTTTCAGAAAATATTTGTTAACACTTTACTAAAGTTACCATTATTGTTAAATATTTAGTGTTCTTAAGGTTAGGACAAAGGGTCAGGGGGGTCTGCTTAGTAATGCATTACATAACACGTTTAAGCAGTTGTTAATATTTTATCTAATAGTTTATAAATGCTTAATAATGCACTAAGTAGCATTAATAAATGGACTCTTATTGTAAAGTGTTACCACGTTGTATTAATCCACACTAGCAGATTAAACTTTTCACATACAGTATCATAACTTTCAACTTATCCTGAGTAAAATTTTTAAGTTTCCATTGGTTTGAACTTTGTAAGATGAGTCAGAAGCTGCTAGGAGCAGGATCAGCAGGTCTGAGGTGTACCAATATCAGAAACTGGTCTTCAGAACCAGACTTGGTGCAATAATAGGAAACAGAACTGTTTACAGCTTACAGATGTGTAATAAATAAATAAATATAGCACAAGAAAACACAAATAAAGCATAATTTTCCTTTAATTATTTTTGTCTATTAAACTAAATTAGAAAACAATCAGCTGATTGTCCTATAATTAAACAGAAAGCTGCCTCTTACATAAGTACTTTTGCTTAATAATTTCTCTTTATAAACTGCAGATTCATTCTGCCTGTTCTATTTTCTATTTGTGAATAATTTAGTTTATAGGCGATTTATGATCTCTGACATCAAAACAATAAACAATAGTTGGTGAGACCCACTAAATGAACGCTATTTTTATCCTATTTACACACAAAAAAACACCAATTCCTGTCTGAAATCCTTTTCAACACAATGATGGCAGAAAAGCTCCTTCTGAGACAATTCCTCACAAAACAAACGGTTTCAAAGCTTATTTTTTCATCTACATTTTTTGACAACATAAATTGGTCATCTTTTCCTCAGCTGATGAAAGACCCAAATTGTTTAGCTGAAAAAGAAAGATTCAATTATACTATCATAATTATCTGAATGTACTTAAAAGTGTAAATACTGTTTATCCTATCAAGAAAATTAACTAGATTCAAAGATTCGGAAAGCAGATGATCATATTCTTTTTTTTTCTTATACAGCTTCCTTCATGCTGCCAGCAAGCTCCTAATAACGCTCTCCAAATTTCATTAACAAGTTCTCACATGCTGGTCTCCAACTTCTCACTTCACAAGTATTTTTCAGAAGAAACGTTACATCACATCCAGAAACACCTGGTCTTTATTAAGTTGGTTCAACAACAATATTCCGCTTGTAGATCCGTTATTGTAAGTTCTGGAGGTCTCATACAAGTAAGTGTTGCAAAAAATTATGAAAGAATGTGTATTCAAAACCATAAATTATATTAAAATGTCCCGAGACAAGTGACGTTGATATTCAACCACTCAAAATTTTCCAGGAATAAATAATTTGTCACAAACTTACTCATAATTTTAGCTGAAATCCACATTAATTAAATAAAATGTCATTAGGCTGCCCTTAAATCTCCCTTTAATATCTACCGACTTGTGTTTTTATTTCTTCTACAAACTTTAACTTTGTTTTTATTCTAATTTTTTGCCTACCTTGGTCGGGTAATTATTTTATATTCACTATTATTCACCTAAATTAAGTCCAACCTTTTTAATCCTCGAATTAATCATAATGAAAGTAACCTTTAGCACCTTTTCTGCTGTTATAGTTTCTTAACACACTCTCTCTCCTTTTTTCCCTGAATAACATTCGCTTATTGATACTGATCTGGGTTGACATATTTAATTATATTTGTCCAGAAAAATGTGTTCACACTGACAATAAAAAAAAATCTTTAAAAATAGATTTACCAGCAAGCTAACGCTAACAGCTAACATCCTGTATTTCCGCAGCTCGTGCTAGCCGCGTTTATAAACAACAACAAAACGAGACACGGCTTCCAAACACGACATGCTAACCTCTAATAACCGCAGAAGTCTTAAAACGTAGGCCACAAGCGGCAGGATTAACGTTAAAACACGAAAAACGACGGCGGGCGGATACGTTACCCTGTCAGTCGGCCTTCCTTGTTGACAAGTTTTCAGCTACTTCCGCCTAATGCGGCGGCTCGGGCTCGTGACAGATAGGGCGGGGCTTATGTTTTGACGTCACCAGGCATTTCCCCCCCCCTTCATTCATAAAAATATAGTTATTTCAATTAAAAATACATTTTAACATTTTAGAACAATTCAACTTTTATATGTGTACAAACCGCTGCTGCTGACTGATCTAGGTTGTTCTTAAATAGGACGTTTAACTTTAAACGCCAGGTGTCACTGCACACTGCTACAAAGGTTCAACACTAACTTTGATTCATAAAACTGGTAATACATAAATAAAACAAATGTCTTTATCTAAGTAGTTTTTGTCATTATTTACTCTATTTTAGCATAATTATTCATCTCTAATTCCATATACTAAAGTATTTTTATTAGGAATTATGAATAGTAAGAAAGAAAATAAACCATAAATAGGAGAAAACTATCTATCCTGTTCAAGCCATAAAAGCTGCAGTTGTATTAGTATTTTTTTCCTCAGGTCTTTCCAGAAGCATGAAGAATACCGGATATCACTTAGGGAACAGGACAGAAATATCTTTTAGTTGACACAAAAAATGTATCAAAAGTTCCTCTGAAAATAATGACAGTGAAATGAACATTCACTAAATGTCTTGAATGTTAAATTGAGAGCAATTTTTTGTTTAAAATTGTATAATTTCTTGATGCACATTTATAAGGTATTAATATAGTGCTAGCCTTCAAGAAAAAAATTTAAAGCAAAAAAATACCCAACATGTAAATTGTTGCATTTTTATGTTTTCTGCCTAAATATATAACACATCATATTTATTATGGAACATTTTTGCAGACCTGCATGTCAAATGCAGTTTATGATGTAATTATCTGTAGAGAGAAGAGGGAACATTTGCATGAAATTAGTTGAAAAACATATTGGCAATATATATATAAATATATATATATATATATATATATATATATATATATATATATATATATATATACATACAGTGGGGCAAAAAAGTATTTAGGCAGCCACCGATTGTGCAAGTTCTCCCACTTAAAATGATGACAGAGGTCAGTAATTTACATCATAGGTACACTTCAACTGTGAGAGACAGAATGTGAAAAAAATCCATGAATTCACATGGCAGGATTTTTAAAGAATTTATTTGTAAATCAGGGTGGAAAATAAGTATTTGGTCAATAACAAAAATTCAACTCAATACTTTGTAACATAACCTTTGTTGGCAATAACAGAGGTCAAACGATTACTATAGGTCTTTACCAGGTTTGCACACACAGTAGCTGGTATTTTGGCCCATTCCTCCATGCAGATCTTCTCGAGAGAAGTGATGTTTTGGGGCTATCGCCGAGCAACACGGACTTTCAACTCCCTCCATAGATTTTCTATGGGGTTGAGGTCTGGAGACCGGCTAGGCCACTCCAGGACTTTCAAATGCTTCTTACGGAGCCACTCCTTTTTGCCCAGGCGGTGTGTTTGGGATCAATGTCATGTTGGAAGACCCAGCCATGTTTCATCTTCAAAGCTCTCACTGATGGAAGGAGGTTTTGGCTCAGAATCTCACGATACATGACCCCATTCATTCTGTCCTTAACACGGATCAGTCGTCCTGTCCACTTAACAGAAAAACAGCCCCAAAGCATGATGTTCCCACCCCCATGCTTCACAGTAGGTATGGTGTTCTATGGAAGCAACTCAGTATTCTTCTTCCAAAAAACACGACGAGTTGAGTTTATACCAAAAAGTTCTATGGTTTCATCTGACCACATGACATTCTCCCAATCCTCTGCTGTATCATCCATGTGCTCTCTGGAAAACTTCAGACGGGCCTGGACATGCACTGGCTTCAGCAGCGGAACACGTCTGGCACTCCAGGATTTGATTCCCTGCCGTTGTAGTGTGTAACTGATGGTGACCTTTGTTACTGTGGTCCCAGCTCTCTGCAGGTCATTCACCAGGTCCCCCCATGTGGTTCTGAGATTCTTGCTCACTGTTTTCATGATCATTTTGACCCCACGGGATGAGATGTTGCGTGGAGCCCCAGATCGAGGGAGATTATCAGTGGTCTTGTATGTCTTCCATTGTCTGATAATTGCTCCCACAGTTGATTTTTTCACACCAAGCTGCTTGCCTTTTGTAGATTCACTCTTCCCAGTCTGGTGCAGGTCTACAATTCTTTTCCTGGTGTCCTTCAAAAGCTCTTTGGTCTTGGCCATAGTGGAGTTTGGAGTCTGACTGTTTGAGGCTGTGGACAGGTGTCTTTTATACAGATAATGAGTTCAAACAGGTGCCATTAATACAGGTAACGAGTGGAGGACAAAAAAGCTTCTTAAAGAAGATGTTACAGGTCTGTGAGAGCCAGAGATTTTCCTTGTTTGAAGTGACCAAATACTTATTTTCCACCCTGATTTTCAAATAAATTCTTTAAAAATCCTGCCATGTGAATTCATGGATTTTTTTCACATTCTGTCTCTCACAGTTGAAGTGTACCTATGATGTAAATTACTGACCTCTGTCATCATTTTAAGTGGGAGAACTTGCACAATCGGTGGCTGACTAAATACTTTTTTGCCCCACTGTACATAATGCAATGTAATGTGATCCCTCACATACCCATGACAACTGCTGCCAAAAACACAAGCAGAGGAAAATTGTGAAAATGAAGGATATAAAGGAAGAAATAAACTATGACTCAACACAGAATGGCATCAAAGAGAATGTTAAAGGGTAAAATGGTTCACAAATACATATAAACTTTTAAAAAATTTCTTTCCTATCATTTATAATACTGCTTTCCTTTTTTGTGAGGCTGTGCACAACTATTAAAACTGGAAGAAACGAACCAATGGTGGATAAAATAACAATTTTTTGTAGAAAAACATTCTGAAAAACACTATTTTTATTCCAGCCTTGTCAACAGAATGAAGTTTATTCCATAAAGACTCTTCTATTTTGTTGTGGTTGAGGCTCTTAAATATTAGCTCATGAGCATTACAGTGGTGAGCTCTTTTTTAATTTTTCACAAATGTGTAAAACCACTCCCAACATGAGGTCATGCAGCATTTTTCTATGCCATTAAAAGCCTTCACGTGTCCATGTTTATGACATCTCACATAAAATGTTAAATACTAAGAATTTATCTTTAAGTGCAAGCTGTTGGGTAATTTTATGAATCCAAGATTACCTTAGGGAAAGTTTAAAGCACAGGGGCTTATAGTAATCAAGCAATCAACACCAATCATAAACAATCAATTTAGACTTTGCAAAGCGGAGAGGAAAGATACACACCAGTCAAGGGTTGCAGTTCACGCTCATCAGGCTGACGCCTTCCGACAGCATTTATTAAGCACACACAAAGATTATCGCACACACATTTTGACATTCCTTAGACTCTCAGGTGGAAAGATGTAAAAAGGGAGTCTAAACTTTCTCCAGGTGCACCTTAAATCAAACAAAGCTATTGCTAGACTTTCTCAAGGGAGTTTTACTGATAACGGTCGGTGCCAAGGCAAGGTCATCCTCCTCACCTACAAGACCTATTGGGGCCTGGTATCTATCACAGGATGAAAAGGATGAAGCTACGTTTAATAAGACACCAGATGTTTAACAGTCAAGACAATCAATAATGATATCAGTTTTTATCTAACATTCCTCCCTGTACGTTAGATTCTTCCTCTATAATTGGCAGAGTAATAAAACAACAAGAACAATACTACGATTATGGTAAATATGTTTGTAGCTGTGAAAATCAAACTAACACACAAAAAGATCACAAAATAATTAGTGACCCCCCAAAAAGGCTGTAAAAATACATAACAACCTGTAACAAAAGAAGGCTGCATCAATAGGTGGCAACCTGTAATAAAAAGGATGATTATAATAGTGATTATAATGATAAAGTAAAAAGATAAAAGATAATAAAATCAACTGAGCTGATAACTAGGACATCAATCAACAACGGTTACAGAATTTGTTGTTTACATTGTTGAAATCATAATGAAAACACCTTTATTAGGCGATGTATTCTTTTTCTTCCTCCAGCTGCTCTCTTTGCTGCAGGAGCGTGTACTGTACCAAAGCATCTGTCATTAGCTTGTTTACCATGCTCTTCAGACAAGGGATTACACAGCTTATAACCAAGCAAATCATGACTAGGATAAAAATAACAGGTGCAAGACATTTTAACAAGAGCTGATACCAACTACCAGTTGTCAGCCAATCCATTAAGCTCCAGCATCCTCCAGTCGATTCTCTGGATTTCAGGAAGTTGCTGAATAATCGAACACGGTTGGAGATCAAAGTCCAGTTGTCACGTGAGGAGGGGACGAAGGTGCAACAATGCTCACCAATTTTTGCGCAGAGTCCTCCTTCGGAGGCGAAAAGAGTGTCCAGGGCTAGTTGGTGTTGCATCAACATGGTTCTCATAGCTTGCTGTTTGGGATTGTCTGCCAGAAACGAGGTTGTCTCAGAGAGGACAGTGGTGTGTTTTCCAGAGACCACCACACTTCATTCATACGTTGCATCAGACTGGCAGTTCCCAATTGGGGAAAGATGGTGTAGAAGATTTCTTTGGGGTCGTCGTAGAGAGGGGCACGGCTTTCGTCGTTGGAGAATGGGCGAAAGGCCATAACAGGCTTAAACTCTCTCTTATTCCTCTTCAGCTCGGATGTCCTCGTAAGGACGGCCCCTTCCTCCGTGATGACATATGAGGAGGGGTGCAGTCGAGCCAAACTGCAAGTTCCACACCAGATGCGTGGCAGGTACAGGTAGAGAGAGCTTCCGCATTTCCAGATGTATCCTTCAGGGGTCCCCATTCCCATGACTGAGGGGACCGCGAGAACATGTTCGTTTGTGTTCCATGGGGGGGGGGGGGGGGGGGGGGTAGAAAGGTCGTCCAGTCATTATAAGGCTCAACAGGGTCACATTTAAGGTGACATATCCAGGGACATCAGACCGAGTTGTTAACAAGTGTTTCTTGGCAGGAGATTTAATCCATCCATCAGCTGGGAGAATGTCATCACAGATGG